GAATTTCTCATAGGCTGGCAGACGGGTGAATTTCTCATGGGATGGCAGTCGCTGACGCGCGCTGACGCGCTGACTCCGCGCTGACACCGCCAACTGCCAAGATAGCGACGCGACCCATCAACGGCCCGCGATTGGAAAACGAAATTAAAACAACAACAACAACAAAGAGGAGACGGGCTAAAAAAACGGTGGGTGGAGTGCGCGCTAGATTGGGACGCTGCCGTTATCATTGAAATGGGGGTCGATTTTGGTCGATTTATGGCGGACAGCCCGGCCCGGCCCGGCACGGCATGGCATGGCAGCCTCGTCCCATGTCGCGCGCGGGCTATGAGAAACGCGCGGGAAAACTATTAACGCGATACTCGCAGTGTGCTGCCCAGGGTGGGCGCAACCCGTCGGGAAAGTCCCTGCGTTGCCATCACAAATAGGCAAAGCCTCCCGGGTGACATCCAGGCTCAAGAAGCAGAGTAGCCTCCAGGCAGGCTGAGGTTGGCACGGTTGGCAACCCTTTCGACACCGCTGCATCGTGGGGATTTTCGGCTGCTGGTGTGGCAGCACTGCCCCGTGGAGCGTCTAGTTCAGCCAGCCAGCGAACGCATCCGCTTGACCTGGCAATGCCCAAGAGGTCGGAAATGTTTGGCACTTTGCTGCGGAGCGGTGCCGGGCGGGTGCGGAGCGGTGCGAACCAGACCAAAGAGAACCCGGCTCAGTGTCTGCGATTAGCTGATTGTTTCTCGTGTGTGTGGGAGAGAGAGAGAGAGAGAGAGAGAGAGAGAGAGAGAGAGAGAGAGAGAGAGAGAGAGAGAGAGAGAGAGAGAGAGAGAAGCGTGTGTGTGTGTGTGTACGTGCCGCGTAACTCAGCAGGAGCGCCCCGAAATCAGGGCCGAAGCAAGCCAGCCAGCCAGACCGTGGCGAGGGCGAGGGCGAGAGGGCAGGCCGGCTAGAGCGGGCTAGACCCTGCACGCGGGATTAGACACGGGGCTGCACCGAGTGCTTTATGAGCAGCCGAAGACTAGCGCTGGAAGCACTGACAGCACTGGAGGCTGGCGCTAGCTGGCGCTAGCTCGCGCTGAAAGCACCCAAAGCCGAGTAGGGCCCCGCCAAGGGCCCCGCCGCCCCTCGCAGCGCACGCTGCTCACGCCAGTCCAGGCATTATTCCGCGCGAGGGCGTTTGGGATTTGGAGCTCCCTTTTCTTGTCTGCTGCACCGACAAGGTTCAAACAATTTTTTCCAATTTTTCGAAAAAAAAATATGAAGGGGCTGCCGCTGGGACGGGGTTCAAATCCCCACGCCTGATTCTGTTTATCTTCCTCCTTTTTTCCTGCTTCCCAGGCTAACGAGGTCGCCCAGCTCGGCCCGGCCCGCGCGAAATGGCGAAATGATTCCTCAAGGCCCCCAACTTGCAAAACAAAAGGGCACCCCGACAAATCATAGAGCGGTCGGCCTGTGGCTGCCTGTGGCCCGATTCCTAAAAGCGCTGTCTCTCTCGCACTCGTGGCGCGGCTCGCGGGAGTGCGAGGGAGACGGAGCGTGCCGCCCTGCTGCCCACCCCACCCCGCCCCGCGACCATCGACACTGTGTCCCCGTTTCGTCGCTCTGTCCCTCTCGCACTCACGGGGCGTCGCGTGGGGGTGCGAGGGAGACAGAGCGAGGGGCTGGCGGCGGCCCACGGCGTCCACGGCAAAGCCCCGGCCAGCCTCACGGCCCTCTCGGCCTGCCCCAAGGCCTTCTGATTTATGGCCGTCCAGCAGCCCTCGACGGCGTCCTCGTCCCTGGCAGGGCAGCCCGGCCCCGAGTTTCGACGTCGCCGACGTCGCCGACGTCGACAGCGCCGGATTAAGCCCCAGGCAAAAAGCGCGCGGCCGGCCGCCACAGTGGCGTGTTGACGGAGGGATCCGCCAAATTCGAGAAAACAAAACGGAGCCGCGGCGGTGAACGGGTTTTGAACCCACGCCAGTGGCTTTGCTCGAGGACGACGCCTGGTGGCCACTCCACCGTCAGCACTGCTTTAAGGCACTCGGCGTTCCAGCCCACAGGAAGCGACACCTTCCGCGCTGCTGCACTGCTAAACCAGCGCCGGGACGAGGGCTCTTCCTCTCTCTCTCTCTCTCTCTCGGACGTGCCGGCCCGGCCCGCCACCCTGGGGCACTAAAACCACTGCCTGTCTCCGTCGCCCTGCTGCGGATGGAGCTGAAGCGGTACTTACGCTGCCACGCCGCGGCACGGCGGCACGCCGGAGCACCCCGCCGGCCGGCCGAGCTGGCGGCCTCGACGGCCTCGACGGCGTGCCCGCGACCCCGGCGCCCCACTGGTATAATCCGCCGCGAACAGCACAGCCACTCCGTGCCACTCGGTGCGACGCGGCACTGCTGGTGCGCAGCGACGGCCGCCCGACGCCCTCAACAAGTCCCGGACGCAGGACGCAGGACGCGGCGCGGCGTGTTCTCGCTCGGCGACGTGCTCGCTGCTCGCTCGGCGGCGTTCGCGGCCTCCCCCTGCGACTTGCCGGCCCGGCGCTCCAGCGGCAACTGGAGCCTGGAAGGCCTGGAACTCGCTCCGCCCCTCTGGCGGTGGGGGTGGGGGTGGGGTGCGGGCAGGGCGGACCGTGTTGGGGAAGGGTGAGCTTGAGCAATACACATCGCGACACGGCATTTGTCAGCGCGGGGGGCGCCAGCGCTCCGCCAGCGCTCCGCCTGCGCGCCAGGGAAGGACAGGACGGGGAAGGAAGGGCGCGTTGCGTTGCGAATCGGGTTTCCCGCCGAAATGACTGACGCCAGCGCGACGCACAGTGGGCCAGAAGACCGGCGCATGCGGTCAAAAGTCTAGACGCGTTTAGAGCTCCAGAGTCGATACATGGGACTCGAACCGAACGTGTGACCCCCACCAATGGATTGCCGCCCCTCGAACGAGGAATCCATTGGTGGTCACACGTTCGGTTCGAGTCCCATTTAGCGACTCTGGAGCTCAAAACGCGTCGAGAGTTTCGGCCGCCTTCGCCGGCCTGTTGGCCCACTGTGCGTTGAAGTAGCGCCTGTGATGCGCGGGGTAGGCAGCACGCTCCGCTCCCGTGCACCACGTCCGTAGTTTTGCGGCACCTCCAGGCGCTCTCCGGCCATAGAAAAGGCAACGGTATGTAGTTCTGTTTCTTTAAATATTTCTTTCAAATGAGTGTTTGTCGCCCCTTGAGCCCGACTCCACTTGCGTAGTGCAGTTCCAATCGTGCCCGGGTATTTAAATAAGACAATTTTGTGAACAAAGTTATAGGATTTATTCAGTTGCCAACAGGTTTAACACAATTACAGATTTATAATGTCATAATAAAAAGAACACAATCTATTTGTAACAGGATTTAAATGGTAGGGCTTCAAAGATAAAAGTCCATTATGAACAACAACGAGCATATACATATATATTTATAAATATGGTACAAAGACTTCATGAAAATAAAATGCTTTGTTAATGAACAAAAATTCAAAAATCTAAGAGTAGGTAAAAATGAACACTCATCTCAATTGAGAAAGATGCTTTCTGAATATTTCATCATTGTCTTGCAACCACAATGATAAACAGTTTCTCTAAACCTCAAAAAATAATTTAACTGTTATGCTAATCTATGGATTGTGCACACAAAAAACGAATATAAATGCATGGCTCTGCCAAGATTTAACACTACTGCATTTAGAATTAACTTCTAAAATAGTACAATTCAGATCAGAATTACACCCTAAAGCGCATGGTTTCCTATAAAAACGTGCTAGTAATAGCTTACATATGTCAGTTGGGAGACATTATTTGGCACTTCATCTTGAAACTACATGGATTTCTGACAGGTACACCAACCATTGCTGTGGATTGTTTTGAAAAAAAAAAAAGACACTTGCCTTTTTTTAATCTATTGGCAAGCTCATGCAGCTAGAAACAATATGAGAAGACACCCTTATCACTATCTAGACTATGAATCACTTCCACAACTCAAACATAACTAAAAACTAATTCGTAATCTTTCAGAAACTAAAAGGTGAAACAGAACATAAAATGGAAAGCCCTCAACCAAAAGGTTCAATTGGGCTTCTGGTTACAGGCCTGTTACAACCAAGGCAACAACAATAGGACCACTATAATTGAATTTTTTTATTCCTAAAATAATTAACATGCCTTTGTGCTCGCAAAAATATCAAACATTCAGGGGAAACATTAAAAGAAGGTACAAGATAAACGAGATGTATCACAAAAGGATATGTACCAATCATCTGGGGTACTGATATAACAGAATAGAGAGTCAACAAAATTATACAAAGTAATTAAAATAGAGTAGATATAAAGTTCAGACAGTGAGAAAGAGAACGACTAATGAGAGGTAAAGGGTTGTATTTTGGGGAAAGGAGAGCTCCTGAGCACCCTTCTAAAGACAGCCAAGGTAAAATTTTATCATTCTCATACAAAGACAGGGGCAAAAATATTTACTCTGTTTACAGATAACAAAGGAACCAACTGCTAAGTTGGCATTGCAACTAAGTGCTCTTATTTTAGCACAAGCCAATATTGTAACAGCAAACTTGGAACAGTAAACATTCAGTTTGTAAACGTGCTGTGCCCCAACTCACAGCCAACAGCAACAGACCCTGTGATGACAAGTTGAGCTTGGCATTGCAAACTTCGAGTATGCGTCAATTCCTTGTGACTAGTTCATTTTAGTAACGCCACTAAATATTTTCTTAATTATGTTCATGATTGAGCCATGACATATATTTTGCTGCGATTTGGCCAGCTACTGCCACTAGCGCTTTTCCCCTTCTATATCAAGATCAAAGTAGATTCTACATTATGGAATGAATGCAATTACGACAGTTAAGTCATTCTGCCCAAAAAAACAATTAAGGTAATAAAGTTTGTAAAATAATAACAATCAATTCATCTATTTGCTGAATTTCTTTTACTACTACTCGAGTTCTACGCTGCAAGCTTCGAAGATTATGACTGAGGGACCATCAAATAACGGTTTACATCTGGTGCAGGTAAGCTGTGGTGGAATTGAGGAGACCAATACGTTGCTTCTGTTTCCGCTGCTCTGTCATCTGTAAGCAAAAGAAAATGTTAGTTGTCACCGGATGAGTTTGTGCTCCAAACAAAGAGGTAAAACGTGCAACATACCTGATCTCTCAGCTCTGTCAATTGTTGTGACAAATGTTGTACAAGACTCTGCGTCACTTCCAACTGTGCTTGCAGACTGCGCAACTCCATTTGCTCCCCTTCACTTTCATCGGCGGCCAACGACATGGCACGCAATCTGGGGAACCAGTCTAAATTGCGATCCTACAAAAGAATCAATAGTTTTGATATAAACAAACTGTCTAGTGTTTTGCCTGGCCCTGATCTTGTAACAGAAGGTAAGCTTACCTTGACCATGGCATACACATAGCTTTCAGGACCAGTGAACTCAGTGGGATCCTTGACTTTCACAAGAACGATAAAATAGAGGTAGTGCCACATGTTGTGCTCACACTTCATGTGCTCCTCAAAACTAACAGTTTTGTTGTCAAATGCAGATCTGTTCAAACCTGAAACAAACAAATAAAAAAAATATCAGGAACATGAATAGGAAGGTAAACTGTGTAACAAGAAAGAAAATTACTTACCACAAATAAAACATGTGTTCTTAAGGATTAATTCTTTTTGTTGCTTTTCACTTCTGAGGTCGGCAAATGTATCAATGATGACACCAAAAATCAAATTCAACACAATAATGATAACAATGAAGAAGAACAGAAGGTCATACACAACTCTAGCAAAAAAGAGAGGTTCCTGCAAAAAGAAATTAAAAATGTAGAAAGAGTTTCTTGAAAGAAACAAAAATGAATGAATACTTAAATGGGAGCTTGACCATACCTTGCTACTGGGGGCTCGTAATATGTCACCAATACCACCTCCATTTCTCAGACCCTGGTTTAACGTTGTTATAATGCACATGGCCATAGAATCACAAGCACGTTCCTTGACTTCTTCCTCAGCAGTACTGTTTGATTCAATGTCAGCTAGAAAAAGAGAAATGATTTAACATCATTCAAAACAATTATAACAATCACCCAACTTGCTATAATAGTAAACTTACAACTGAGCTCCGAATCCACCCCAATAAGAAAGTCATCCCTAAAGAACATGTATCCAATAATTGAAAACATATACACCAGGATGAGAGCCAACACGGCAGTCAATACAATGGATCGCCCATTTCTTGTCACCGACCGGATAACATTAATGAGGGTGTCTTCCCGGTAAACAACGTCGAGAAGCTAAACAAAAAAAATGCAATGTATTAATCAAAGAGTCAAGTATGAGTAAAATAAAAGTTTGTAGTAGAATAGACCTCCATATAACGTACCAACACAGAAAAGAAGAATGGGTGCATGACAAGACCAAGACCACAAAGAAGAAGGTACGCAATGTGATACAGAAGTTGTGTATCGGTCATTATTTGCTCATATGTTTTTGTCAATGTGCCTTGATTAAACATGATGCTCACTAGATGTACCGTTTTTAGCCCCACCTACAAAAGTGTTGAAAGGTGGCAAAAACTTAGAGGGAAAGATGATGAGAAATAAATCACGTAGGTTGTCTTAAACAAACAATACTTACAGTCAGCATTCCTAACATTGTTAAAGTGCTTTCAGGTCCCATGAAGTATATAAGTTTAAATGTAACAGAGCCAACGAACGTTATCATTCCAGATTTACGAGGAACCCACATGACCAATGCTCCAGAGGCCATTATGAGCGCCCAAATAACTCCAGACAAGCTTGATCCAAGGCCTAGAGAAATAAATTCATTACCACAGGAAAACTTCAAAGAGTAAGACAAGACTTAAAGGTAAATTTCACTCTAATACCATCAACAGTGTTTTGGAAGGGATGATAAGCAGCTATTATGAAATTGATGACAACAGTGCAATAAAAGACAATGTTACTCCACATTGACATGTAACTGCCAACCCAAAACAAAGCTTGCTGTCCTGTATCAGAGGAGCAAAAATTAGTGGTCAGGAGGTCTGCATTATTTTTTCTACATGACAGAGACAACAGTATCTTTGAACTAACCTCGTAACTTTTTCTGCCACTGCATTTCATGAAGCATGTCTTCCGTACGCTCAAAAAAGTCAGAGACTTTTGAGCCCTGATCATCTCTCTCAGCTGTATGCAAAACCTTCAATTTTGTTTCCTCCGTAAGGTACTCACACATTTCTGGTATAGGGAAGACAATTTGTTCCAAGGTTCTGTCATGACGAACAATCTGAAAAACAAGAAGGCCACACAAGTTTCATAGTGTGTTCTTGAACAGACAGACTTCATAAGGTAACAAAGATAGTTACTTCAATTTGCGCAGTATGGGATGCATAATACTCTAATGCTTGATTTACTTTAGCATCAATATTGGACACAGAGGGTTTCAGCATAGCAGCAAGGTCTTTGTTGTGCTGGGCCAGTTGGTGGCAAAGAATGTAGATGTTGTGGCCCACCTATAAACGACAGAACACAATCACCATTAAGCTATGTTTTCAAAGACTATGCTAAGAGGCTATAGTTGCTGGTTTATTGACCTCTTTTGGAGAAACTCCCTGTTCATCCCCTGTGGATGAATCATCATTGTCATCATCATCATCATCTAGAGCCTCCTGATGGAAAGCTCTACATGCAACATCAACTAGTTGTTTCGGATTCATGTTGTACAAAATTCGCTCAGCATTTTCAGAATCACCCCGACTCTCCATTATAGCAAGTAACAATTTGGAAGCATTGTTCTTCAGCTCCAGTACGAGATCCATGCGGGTCTTCCCCAGTGGATTTATATCATTCAAGATTAAGGCTGTAATAATGTCCAACCCGTTTGATTCATGAGTGGCAATGCAGTTTTGGTTATCATGGCAAGGGCCCTGAAAAAATAATGAGACACATTAGATATTACTTTTAAAAAATTTGTCTATGTATATTAATTAATTGTAGATTGTAGTAAATAGAACTTACTTGGCAGTACTCCGTTAAAGTCTCAAGTGTTTGGTTGATCAGAGCCACATTGTTTTCATTGATATACAGTCCAAGGAGTCCCAAGCCACCAGTGGTGGATCCACAAATACAATCCAAGAACATAAGTGTTTCAGATACAAGGTTGTAATTGGTTTTGTTGTTTTGATTTCGTAACAAGTTCTGAAAAGATCATTTTTTTTTTCATTTTACCCAGCTTTTGGCAATACAAGGGTCCCGTGATGAAAAGAAAAGAATAGATCCTAACCTGGAGATCCCGGTTGTGGTTCTCACAGAGAAGTTGCAGGAAACGTAGAATAGGTTGCATCACCAGCACCTTACTTGAGAGACGGTTGGGATCTTCCTGATCTCTGTAACGTTCCTTCTCAGCAATCATATCTTCCAAGGCGGAGCTGTGAGCACCTCCAGTCGCTAGACTTGGGTCATCTGCTGTGAAAAAGAAAAATGAGTTTCAAAACCAACATCCATGCACACATGGATACAACTTGTGTCAAATCTATTTTACCTGCAGATGCGTTCCTTGCATTAGCATAAGCTTGAGTGGTTGCTACAGCTGCCTGATTTAACTCTTCATTCAATTCCTCAGATATTACTATACCATTACTTTTGGCTAGAATTGATTGAGAAAAATAGTTAAAACATGTACAAAAATTACTCAGTCTTAAAACAGCCTTTCAATAAACTTGAACAAGAACAGAAACTCACCACCTCGTTTCTTGGAAATCTTCTCTTGTTCCTTCCCTTGGTCTTTGTCTTCGTGAGCTTTGGCTGCAATATCTGACGTGTTAACAGTGACAGTAGATTTGATTTCTTGTTGAGCATCTCGCATTTTATCATGGAAAACCTAGTACAAAATTTTAAGTTATTTTACTGAGCATTGTCATAGCAATTGTATCAACAAAACACATTGGTTGGGATGTACCTTGAAGAAGGCTTGGCTCAGGTCCCCACCTAACAGCTTACTATACATGCTTTTCTGGATGACTGGATTGCCCCCTTCAAGAAGTGCGATGCCCAGCTCCACTGCCTCGCCAAAGATTGAAGGGGAGTGAACTGATTTGATCACCAACTCCACAACAAGATCAGATGCGCCTTCACGGTCCAGGTGGCACTGCACTTCATGTAATGTGCATCCAGCCCGACTCAGCACCTTTGCTGTATAAATAAATTAGATTAGATACTCTGCTTGAAAATGAATAGAAAGGCAACATGATTTGAACTATGCAGCAAAGAAATAACTAACCTCCAGGACCATGCATCACTTGCGGAAGATTCCTGGACACAGAGGGATCTAGATTTTCCTGCCGCTGAGTTTGGCAGTTGTCAAAATACCTTGTTAACAGAAGTTGTCTCAGCTGATCACCCTGAAAAAATTATAATACATAGCATTAACGTCCCAAAAAGACCACAATTTCATTGGCGCTAGGAGTTAAGGTATAAAACACCATTAGCTAACACACATCAAAACGTTAAAAGACACATCTATAGGGATAGTATCTTATCCATGGGGTTTCCATGAAATTTCAATACTTGAGTATGAATAAGAAATTCATGCTGGCATAGCTCAGAAAGAAGAGAAAAGTAAGACTTGGAGCAGAACTTTGTTTTCGCCACTACAACTGACCTTTTTTTTTTCTTTTAATAAAACAAACACAATGAGAAGAAATTGAGACAAACAGAGTAGATAGGCAAGGAGTGGCTACAGCTTGAGACATTCATAGAGCAGGGATCACACAAACAGGAACACCACACAAGAAAAGAAAGAGGAACAAGGAACAAGGTGGCAAAGCATCAACCTGTGGATATAGTGGAAAAATTTCAAAGGTCTAAAATCAAGGAGGGGTCAAAACCAACAAACTTCCAAACGGCCAAAACCATACCCGTGACTGTTCAATCCCTAGAACCAGAGGTTCTTCCTTTGAGCAGCAGCAACAACACGTAAAGAATGCTTGTTACTATCACCTTGGAAAAGAATAATAAACAACACTGAATTTTGTGTTTTAGACAAAGCTTGAGTGCAAGTGGACATGACACAACATTCAGCAGACATTGACCATATAAAGCGGACAGATGATAGAAACATAATACAGGACATTTACTTAATAGTACCTAAACACAAATGAACACAGACCTATTTTAAAATATTACAATGATCATGATGTCTAAAGTTAATTATCAAGTGCCATACATAGTAACAAATAAGGGTGAAACAGAGGAGAGATGTGAGATATTCTAATGTACCTTTTCCCCATAATCAGAGTCGATGGACATCATCTCACGAAGTGTTCGCAGAACTTTAACACACAGTTTCTCTTCTTTTTCCTCCAGTAATTCTTCAGTGTGTTTAATAAGCCTGAAAGACAAGATCATGTGAAAAATAAACAGAAGAAAAGAAGTATTTGGGCTGCGATTTATAGATTGCAATTGCTTTAACTTACTTCCGAATAAAACCTCCACTTTCACAGCCCTTGCGAGCTTCTGACCCTTGAGGGAAAAGAAGTTCGGGTCGATACAAGATATCAACAAGAAGAGATAATTCTGACTGAACCAGAGGTTTGAGTTGGTCCTCAAGAAGAGAGACGATGTCCTGAAGACCTTCAATGATGTTGCGATCCAATTTGATGAGCTGAAGTAAGAAACAGATATGTTGCCTTTGGTTACTCAAATGAAAACATCCTCCTCAATCAAAGAGCACCACAGCTGTATCAACCACTTACCTGAGATTGAGATCTTTCCATTTTTGGCTTTAATGGCATCATCCTCTTTGTATTTTGTCGAATCAATTGAGCTGGCTTGTTAAACATAGCCAACACTTGACTTTCCAAATCAGATGGTATAGCAATGGTCCGAACTTTGGCTAAGAGATAAAAGAAAAACATTATAGCAGACACCTTCAAAGACTTCTTGACCCTCTTTAACTTGAACATATTAGAGCAACCTACCAACTTCAGATAAAGTACGAATACAATTTTCTACTTGAACTCTCTGAGTGGGATCAAGCCATGAACACTGAGAAACTCTATAAGCTGACTGGAGAAGTTTAACAAAGATCGGTTGGCGAGCCTGTAACATAAATAAGCCAGATATAAGAATTAAATTCACATAACTTAAAGAACCATTTACATTAGATGTGTATTTACCTGCACAGTGGTGCACTGATCCGAAAACGGACTGTTGAAAAATGTTGTGATGACATTCATTACACTGTTGCAAACATAACTTTCAAGAGCACGATCAGCATGTTTCCTGTCAGCAGTGTGATTTGCAACAGTTGCCAGATCAATGGGGAAGCTCCTTTCAAACAAGCTCCACATATGATGAGATGTATAAATCTCTTTCATTTCAACCTCTGTGTCAATATAACAGTGGTTTAAGAAGTTAATGTAAGCCTCCTTCACCTGAAAGTAAAATACCAAAAGAGATAAAAAATAATGCTGCAAACTGCACAAATTTTAAAACACAAATAATAAAAAGAACTATTGCCACTTACCTCTGGAATGCAATCGTCGTGGGATACCATATCCACAATACCATCTAAGGGCAGCATACTATGGCACTTGATTTCTGTGTTCACATTTTTTCCCATGGTGCAACAAGCCAATAGTTTGACAAGCTCAACATGATACCTGTAAAAAATTGACAAGGATTCAAAACTAAGTAAAATTGGCACACAACGCAGAAGTAAAAATTATTATTCAAGGCAGCTTACTTCAGTGGACTACTCTCATCCATACGATGCCTGCCAGAGCGCATCATCTCAACAAAGGAGTTGAAGGAAGCTTTGTCATTATAAAAAACTAGAACATCTTCTCCTGCATTTATGAGTTCTTGCATGACCATTTCTTGGCAGCGGCGAATGAATTGATTATCCGCTTTGACAATAGTTTGCAGAAACTTGAGGTACTGGACATGCCTCCCATGAGTTTCAATACAATGGACAAAATGTTGGATCACCTTTTCACTCACTTCACTACAGAGAGTTGGATTGTCTTGGAAAATACTACACACAGTCTGAGCATCTTGAATCTGTTTAAAGAGAGAGAAAAAAAAGGTGAAGGTTAAAACACTAAAGAAGATATTTAGCTAATTATTATTATTATTATTATTATTATTAGTATGATGCTCACCCCGGGATTCAAAAACAGATCCAGCTGTTTGTGCAATAATACTTGATTTTGATGGTTGCCAAGACAAAAGTTTTGGAGGAACTCATGAGCAAGGCCCATCAAATGATTCATACGAGTGTCTTCCTTTTGATCGTATGGAATCTGCAGCAGATCTAACACCACAGTGTGAACATGCACATTACGGAGAAGTCGCTGTTCATGTTTCCGAGGTTTGTCAGTTGCAACACATAGCTTATTCATTCTGATCAAAATCTAAAAAGACAGAGAAGAGAAAAAAATTACTATTATTGCTCAAACCTACAACAAAGCTACTGCAAGAGTTCTGATCTAACATACGTCTCTGATTTTCTTGTACTCCTGGGCCTGCTCCTCGTGCAGCGGAGGCCCCACATCCAGCTCTAACAGCGAACCTTGCTTGCTTTCCGTCTGGGACCCAAGGGCAGGAGCAGGGGTGCTGCGTTCCTGTCGCTCCTGGTCCTCTTCATCCTCCGCCCCCTTTTTGTTGCCCAGTTCATCCACACTCTTTGATTTGTAAACCCAAAGTTCAGATTTCTCAACAGACTGCCGTAGAGTGTCCAGGTCTGCTTTGATCTGTTTATAAGATTCAACATCACTATCTGACACAAGCAGTTGAACCTGAAGAACAATTTACGAAACATTAAAGAAAAGGCACAGGAAATTTATTGACCTGATAGATATATGAGAGCAAACACAAGATACCTGTTTGAAAGCTTGCAAGACTTCTTGTCTCTGACTGAAATGTCGGAACAGTAAATGCAATGCTCCAGACACCAAAGGGGGATAGTCATGCATTGATAAATGCAGAAGAACACGCAAGAATGTGCGACCCCCTTGACCATCCAAATCAAGTTCAGCACAATCAGCACTGGGAAATAAATTGAAACCAACATTTTTGTACAACATACAGGATACACTGGCACAAATTCAATCTTAATCTATGATAGACTAACCTGCTACCAAAGATACTTTCTGCCTGAGTTCCTATTAATTCTAGGTCTAGGGCATCTCCAGAATTTTTCTCCTTTTCATTTTCATGCTTAAATATAGATAGAAGGCAACTGATCTTGTAATCAAGCCTAACATCTAAGATAAACTAGAAAAAATAAAACAAGTGAGTACATTCATACATTTACTGGGGAAAGTAAAAATTTAGTTCTGAAGACTGGCCACACCTGTAATATTTCAATTATCTTCAGTTTGGTATCCATTACAAGAGGATACTCTTTTTTCATTTGACTACTCTTGTTTTGAACACTGCTGCTTCTTTCCAGCCCTGATGTTCCCAGAGTCAAACTTGTCATAACAGCTCCCATATCACCAATTGAACGTAAAACACCACCTTCGGCTGGAATGTCACAAGCAAAATCATTATTAGACTAGAGTATGGAAGATTTCTAAAATAAATGAAACAAAACTACTGTACAACTAGACAATTAATCCTAAAAAAGTAGAATGTTTCTCTGAAATAGAAAAATTTAATGCATACAACATTCAGCAAAGAAAATAAAAAGTAAAGAAAAGAAAGGAAATATCTTAAAATCTTGCTAGCATAAGGTTGGTGTGAATAGAAAAGTCTATATGTTGTAGGTCATGCAAACATAAAGAGTGATGATACAATAGCTTGAAAGCACCAAATACTATGAGCCACAAGTTCTGGTCTACAAGCAAGTGCAACTGTACGTAGCAGGCAAGATAGAGGTACAAAAACAAGTGAACATGAATAAATGTATTGCAGATCTTCATACCATCGACTACACAACCATCCATCAAAATACATCAACAGAAGATGAGGAGTACTCCTGCTGCAACTAACTATGCACGTGCTTACTGATGACAACACAGACTTACAAGGTTTATGATTTTTTAATGATTTTGCCTGTTCGATGATCCTTTCATTTACATCCTCTTCAATTCCACTCTGTTCATCAGCTGCTTGCATCAAGCAAGTACAGTCACAGTCAAAAATTGGTTAGTTTTGAGAAAGGCGCTATGTTACATTGCAACCGACAAGAGTAGGCCTATCCAGTATTTGTTTTACAGTCAACAACAAAATTTGAGCTTCAAAAATGAATCAGTTTGAGATGAAAAGGTTTCAAGAGGTTAAGAGTTGTGATACTGTACAACAGGATGACAGAGAGAGGAAAATATACTCACAGCTTATTTCCTCAGTAGGTAATTTTCCAGCAAAAAAGTCAGTCTCTGATACGCAGTCAAGAATATTAAGAAGCATTTTGGTAAGGCTCAATAAGTCGCTGAAACTATAAAAGCCAAAGTAAATCAGCTCTCTAGCCAATTTGACAACCTGCAACAAAAAATTAGTTTCAAAAGACAAGCTGAGGATAGGTGCTTCCAAGCAGGACTCAGAATTTGTGACAAACCTCATATGTAAGCTTGTTCTGTGAATTGTCTGAAAAGCTTCCCACTTTGCCAACGATGTTAGTCAAATAATTTTCAACAAACTTCATAGTTGAAGCAAAACGCTGACGTACTGCTTCCTTATTAGGATCTCTTGTTTTGTTGCAATCATAACTGAAAAAAACCATAGTTTCAAGAAAACAGATTCCAAAGATAGACACTAATTTGCAAATTGAGTAAAGTGCTCACTCATGAATAGTCATTTTGGATGAAATTTCTGGCCATAGTCGAGCATATTTTACTGGTGTAACAGGCTCTTGAGGGTCACGGTCCACATGTAGATGCAACATAAGGCGGCAGAAAGATGCTCTTAACTCATAAGGCACATTATCATCATCAGCCATGCACCTAACATGAACAACATTGAAATTTAACTAACATAAATAGCAAAAATTAATTTTTGCAAAAGACGAGTCAAATATCCTTACTTAAGAATGAGGTCGATATCGAGATTCTGAGATAGATTATTAAGTGCAAGATACTGCCTGTTAAGGCACATGTTTGAGAAGAGATTTAGCTGATGTCGATAGTACTCCAACAGAGCCATTTCCTGGGGAATTCCTTCCTTTGCTTTCTGAGATAGCTCCACCACAGACATTGAATTCTAAGGGCAAAATAATTGCATTAAGATATTTGATCAGGCACAATTGAAGTTTCAAGGAAAATTAGATGATGACATACTTGGCGATTGTTCCAGAACATGACAACATCCTCATGCTCAACAAGAGGTGCATAATCATTGTTTTCATCATCCCTTTCCTCCACTTCCAAAGTCTTCATCATTCTGCAATGAAAAGTTAATTGATATGTTATTTTTTATTGGTGAGATCAAGCAATAGTAGAGGTGACTTTATGTCAGTAAAAAAAAGTACCGTGTTTCAATAAGAATATCTTCATTTTTCTCACTGAAAACACTCTTGCAAATAAGCTCTTGAGTGACAGCAATTGCTTTCTTGTTTGAAATACACAAATCAGACAGATAATCCAAAAATCTTGATTGCCAGGAGGGCATATTTTTCCGCACAAGATTCACGAAGGTTTCAATTTCTGCAGCGGTAATGTGTTTCTCAAGGAGTTTACGATTGTTATGCAGTAGGGCTGTGATTGTATCCTCAGCAAGAATGTCATAACCGATTTGCTTCTGCATGAAAGCAAAATGTTTGGCAATGTATTCCTACAACCCACCAAAAATAAGAGAAAGAAATTAGCACATTTTTGTGAGACAGAAGTATGAAATAAAATTTATAAAAATATTTGCACAGCCATACCTGATTCTTTCTGTAAGCCTGTTGACTGAGCCTTAAAATACGGTAACATAGGCGGAACATGTATTTGTACGAGGCATGGCGGGCATCATTTAAATCTTCAATCTTCAGAAATGGGCCTTTGCCTTGTGATTCCAAAAAAGGAGCTTGAAGAATTTTGAATAATTGTTTTAAAATGTATTGCTCTCGCAGAAGCTTCTGTCGGTCTCTGCTTAAATTTGAAACCGTGAGATCCAATGCCTCTGACTTGTTCTGATCATTTTCAAGGCCAGCAAGAAAATAGACTATGTCCTGGAGAAGGCAGGTTGCAGCTCTAGGGGGGAAAAGTGAAAAGCCAGAATTAGGCAGAGATCAAACACAAATTTCACCACACCATAAGGTCATTTCAAAAAATCTACCTTCTTTCATTGGGAGTTATAGTCCCAGACTCAAGTTTTGTTGAGATAGAAGCAAGAACTTTGCAAGCGTCATTTGCAAAGTCTAAATCTCTCACTTCAGTTGGTGACACCGAGATTAAAGCAAAGGCTTCTTTATCTTCTTTCACCTGGGCACAACCAACCTGCAAAATGTTTAGTTAATATCAAGGCTCAAAACAACAGACAAACCTGTAAATTTCATTCTAGTAAGATATACATACCTTAGACATCACCGGCTTCTCCTCGTCTTTATCAATGGGAATTGAAGTACTGTGAACCCAAGTATTGGTGCACAGATGATGAAGTCTCACATATGATGATTGTGGCACAAGAGAATCGCCCCTTGTGAGAGTGGTGGGATCCAGTTCAAACAAAGATGCTATTTCAACCGAATGTGGTACAGAGACAAGATGATAAACTTGGCAATTGCCTGCTGTACCTGTAATAAAAATTATAATTTTAAAAGGCATTTACTAAATTACATGAAAAACTTTGGTAAGGAAGTTTTCAAGTTCACCTCTTAGATGTGATCTCATCTGGTCAGTAGTATCATCCTCATCAATTTCAGCGGCAAGATATTGACCAGTTGCAAGATGTTTGAAGCGGAAAAGGCAATTCCAATGCCCAGCACCTCCTCGGCAAGGATCATGTTGCACAACCTGAAATCATTTTGAGAATTATAGTAGGGCTAGTTGGTTTTGTAATAACAGTAATAATAAATTTAAACAAGTCAAAAAGGCTTTTTTTTTTCTTTTTGAAATTAAAAAATAGCAAACTACAAACCTCTACTTCCCAGAGAGCTTTACTACTAGTAGCAGCAGTCGCAGACGACCGAGAAGTCGTTCTGAGAAAGACATGCTGAACTTTCTTGTACTCGTCCATGGTCAGGAACTTCTCTTGCTCAGCGTGGAAAAGTCTCACGACGTCACCACCTTTCAGTATCTCCTCCTGGTTCTCCCTGTTTTCCATAAAAAGGTTCACTTTCCAGGAGGTGCTGGAGTTGACAACATTCACCTCTTTGCAGCCAGGATTATCAGGCAGTTCAAAGTTAGCAGCTACATGAAGCACTTGCTGCCCAGCATTTACTGGGGTCAAAATAACCTGAAGGAAAAGCTTTGTCAGAAAACGGAACCACAAACAACAGATTGAGTCAGAATATTATTTTTAAAAAAACAAAACAAACCTTATCTCCTACTACAACATTGTCACCTGTGGTTCGTAATTTGTAAAAAGGAAGAATGTAAAACCAGGAACCCTCATTCCCGTTTGCATCTAAATAGACCCTCATCGCATTTTTCTCTAGAAGTGCTGGTAGTCGCTTGTTGACCGTCAAGAACTTGTTTGATTTTAGATGCAGTATCTGAAAGAAGAATTTAGAGTTATTACAATATAAACTACAGAAAAATTAAAAGGAAAATTGAAAAGGTGTAGTAGTGGGAGGCCAGACCTGAATTACACTTCCATATTGAACTATGTTTCCCAGCAACTTTCTATTCTCAGACTCATTTTGCTTCTTTTCAATTTCAGCAGCATGCTATAGAGGGATAAAGATAAAAATAATTTTCATATCAAATTTGATAGAGTGCCTTCTTAATTTAAAGGAGTTCCAAAGATGCCTTACATGCAATCTTTTTAGAAGGACAGCATCTGTTGAAGAACTGCCAGTTTGCTTTGCAGCTTTCCAGAATTGTTTTTGAGCAGAATATCTGTTCATAGGACATATTTTGAACAGACAGTCTGTAAAAGAGACAGGAGATTAAAAATGACAAATGAAGTTAGAAACCAAATTAATTTTACAAACAGTACCTCTGAATTTCTGTGGGGGGTTTGACAAGTCCCCAGCTTCAGGACATACAACACTCCGGTCATCAACCAGACTGAAATACAAAACAGAAATTAAAATAAAGTCAGAGATTTTTTTTACCTTAATTAGAGTTGTGTAAAATGCTAAATGCTTACCCCAAGGTGCTCAGAAAGCCTGACACACTCCCTTCCGCATAGAGGGACACAATGTCCCCCATGTGGAGGAAACTAGCTGAACTCATATCCCCCATAGTGCTTGGCCTTCTCATAGAACCCACATTTAGAGACCGGTGATGGGTTCCTGAAACAAATGCCAAAATAAAATCAGCCAAATAAAATACCTTATAGGTAAAATATTCCTAGAGTGCCTATGTCTCAAATGAAGTGATGGCAAACCATGCAAAATTTAGGGGTCGTGCAAAGTGATTGTACAAAAAAATAGTCATTATTTTGTTTTTGTAGGTTTAAGATACACGATAGAAGTATAAATGAGCTTCATAAATGTTAATTACAGAATAGTAGAACTATATAGGAGAGATAACTTGGGCCAATCCGTTCATCAGGAGTTGTGATTTTGGGATGTGAAATTAGACAGGCCATAACAGAGAGGAAATTGGGAACGAGGCCTATCACGGTGTCTCCAGGGTTGTGCGCACATCTAAAAGCTTTATACTGTTTGGCTGGTATGAAAGCGGATGAGGCTTAACGCACACGTGTAAGTTGGTGATCACACTGCACAACATTTATGTATAACAGTACAAACCCTCCATGGCTGTATTTATTTTATTTTCATTAAGGGAACCAATAACACCCTGCCCCTCCTCCACAGACTAAGCTGACGTTTATCGCACCAAGACACCTATTTTTGCTGCAAAGCATCAAAATTGTAAGTTTTTCACCTGTATAACATAGCAATTTTCATAATAATTTCTACATTAATGACAGTCAATGAGAAGTGGCTGGGATGCACTCCAGCCACTTTTGACTCAATCTGCGGCTTAGTGTGATCAGTGAGAAAATACACTACAAGTGACCACAATATACCTGGACTAGTTCATGGTGAATGATCAACAGCTAAATATAACCTACGAATGTTGACAAGGTTAGGCTAGACGACTCTGTCAGACGTAAAATTTGTGAGGATCGTGCATGCTAGTAGCATGCTTCGAAACAGATCATCCAATAAAAGACATGACAATGTATTTCGTCCTGTAGCACAACGCCAAACCAAATGAAACACATTAACCCAGAAATGGGACTTGTTTGCAGTACATGACCATATCGGGTATAAAGATTCGCCGTAAAAATAAACGTCTGCAAGTCATAAACGAGAAAGCACGCGACCGGCGCATGTTGCTTCGACTAGGGCAGCATTCCAGCTAGGGCTAAAGTTCCTTACTTATTTCTTGAGACAAAAAGTAAATATCGGATGCATTCTCCTCAAAGTTGACGATTTCTTGCTAATGCAGATGCAGACGACCTTCTCTCTGCCTTGTGTCTTGTCTGTGAGGCGAGACGCGCAGTGCTGCCAACGCCAGCCAGATTCGGTCATTTGGGCCCCGGCGCCTCCGCCACCGGTACCGAGCCGCGCATGCTAATGCCGTGGCTCTTCAGCCGCCCCGCGACGCCGCGCCGCGTCTTTGCATAATCCTTGTAATGCCAATCCCTGGCGGGATAATCAGGGCTGGACCGCTGCCAACCTGACGGACGGAGAGGGAATGTCCAGGGAAGCGCGCCGCTCGCACCGCACAGTGGGCCAGAAGACCGGTGGAGGCGGCCAAAACTCTGGACGCGTTTTGAGCTCTCCAGAGTCGCTAAATGGGACTCGAACCGTACGTGTGACCCCACCGATGGATTGCTCTCCGAACGAGGAAACCATTCATGGGGTCGCACGTTCGGTTCGAGTCCAGGTTAGCGACTGGAGCTCAAAACGCGTCTAGAATTTGGCCCGCCTCCGCCGGTCTTCTGGCCCACTGTGCGTTGCTCGCGCCGTCTCTCTCGCACGCGCACGCGGCCGCCGTGAGAGCGAGAGAGACAGGCAGTACGGATCCAGGCAAGGACCGACACACACCTTCCCGATGTCCAGCCAGCCTGCAGACTGATCCCGCCGCACGGCGCTCCGCTGCACTGCCCGCTGTCTCTCTCGCGCCGGCACGGAGAGCCCCCGTGAGTGCGAGAGAGACGCAGCGACGAAATCGACACACGGTGAGCTGTCGCGGCGGGAAGCGAGCCGCGTCACAAAGTGGCGCTCTTATCAAGATGTGCCGGTTCCGGGCGTTCCAGGGGTGAGGCGGGGCGGGGCGGGGCGGGGCGGGGCGGGGCGGGGCGGGGCGGGGCGGGGCGGGGCGGGGCGGGGCGGGGTGGGCCCTGTTTGGGCGGGTTGCTCCTGTTCGGGGTGCACGTATGCTCGCGTGACAGCCACAGGGTTGATGCCCTCGACGGCGTCCTTGGGGTGGAGTGGACGGTGGACTGGCTATCAAACCCATCAAACCGTGCAAACTTGTTCGTTTCGCCAGCAGGCAAGCAGGCGGGCCGCGCTGCACGCCGAAACGGTGAAACTCGAAACAGGAGACGAGACATCAGGCCTGAATCAGGGGGTTGCTTTCCTCGCTCTGTCTCTCTCGCACCTGCAGGGGACGCCTCTGAGCGCGAGAGAGACAGAGCGGTGGGAGCGACTCTCGGAATCAGTCTGCAGAGAGGCTGGGGCTGCAAGTGCAAAGTTGCTGGGTCACGCCTGGTCACGCCGCACACACGTACTGTGAAGGTGATGCTTGTCTGGATGCTTGTGCTTCCCCATGGTCATGGCCGGGCGGAGGTTGGGTCCGGAGACCCGACGCTACTCGATGACGCGGTGGCCGCCGACGAGGTGGCCGACGGCAAGGTGCCGGTGTCCAGGCGGTCCAGGCGGTCCAGGCGGTCTCCAGGCCTAGGGCAGACGCAGTCGGCAGCTCATAGTCCCCGTTCGCGTCGCGTACACTTTCGTCCCGCTCGTCCCGCCCCGTCGTCGGCGTGCCCGCGTGTCCCCCGGCGTGGCGCCTACACTACTAGTGCCTGCCACTGCACCTGGCACCGCGCACCGCGCACCGCCGTCGCCTTGTCTTGGCGGTCGCGTCCGGGGCGCGTCGCGGCGTCCCCGTCACCGCCGCGCGCCAAGGACCACGGCCAGGACGCGCCGCCGTCGCCGAGGCCTCGGACGCAGCCCCGTTATCTTCGACGGCGTTGTCTCGAGGGGGCCGTCCGTAAGGCCTAATCAGCGACGCCGCGCTTGTAAACATTCGGGGGCCGGGCCTAAAGCGCCTCCGGGACTTCCCCCCCTCCCCTTCAAATTGATTTCTGTAGACAAGCCATTACACTGCAAGGCTTGCGCAATGAGGGGCGGCAGTTAACGAGCATGCGGAGTGTGGGCGGGCTGCTTCACACCACGCCTCTGTGTGTGTGTGTGTGTGTGTGTGTGTGTGTGTGTGTGTGTGTGTGTGTGTGTGTGTGTGTGTGTGTGTGTGTGTGTGTGACTCACTGTGGCATGGGGCGTGCGCGCGCGCTTCGCGTACGGTGCGGGGCGTTGCGGGGCGGTGCGGGGCTCAACGGCGAGCCGCGGGTGCATTGAACCGTGCCGAGTGGACCAGCCCGGCAGTGGCCGGCATGGCAGTGGCATGGCAGCCCGTCGCGTTGCTGCGCGTTGCCAGGCGACGCCGCGGCCAAACACTGGCCGCGCCGGGCCGGCCGCGTCCGGGGCACCGGAACCGGACCTTCCCGGTCTCCGTCGCTCCGGCCGGCACGCCGGCACACGCACCGGAGCGCGGCCGGGCCTCGGCCTCGGACGCCACCCTCGGGTCGGAGGGGCAGGGGGAAGGGGAGAGAGAACAGAATCGCGACAAGTGAGCTGGAAGGAGAAGGGGGTGCGAACGGGGGCTAAAAGTGTCACACCAACCGGGACATAATTTTTATTTTTCACTCGTTTAAAAACTCTCCGGGCGAATTCGGTTTCATGTTTTATTGAGACTCCCAGCGGCGTTTGCTCACATACAGCGAATCAGTCCGAATCCCTACGCGATTTTGACCACCTCTCGCGCTGGCGACGAGTGCTTGACCCTGTTCGAGGCGGCCGTCCCCGTTTCGTGGTGTGAGTGACTCCGAGCAATCGTCACGGAACGACCGACGGCCGAGGTCGAGAGACTTTGACGCAAGCCTTGCGTAGCCTTGCGGTGGGGTTGCCGGGGTGTGCTGGCCCAGGGCTGGCCCAGGGCTGGCCAGGCGGGGTGCCCATTGACTAACTAATACCGCCAGGGGGCTGCGTAGGGCACCTTGTGGAGGGGGCGACTGGACTCGCACGCCTGGCCCTACACTGGCCGGCGCCGCGATGCCTGCCGGCCTGCCGGCCTGCCGGACTCCAACACTCACTGCAGCACTCCAGCGCGGCCAGGCCGGCCAGTTGGATTCCAGTTGGACTCCAGCGCGCTCCGGTGTGGCGCGGGGACTCCGCCAGGGCACGGCCACCGGAACGCCGCCAGGACCGCGATAGACATGGATACAGCCACCGCCAGGTATGGCACGAAACAAACCCCCCGTCCAGCAGAAGCAGTGCCGCTTTGAAACGTCGCGTCCTGCCAGTGTCAACCCGGGCACGTGCTTCCACGTGGTTCTGTTTGCTCGACCGGCCCGAACCCCGGTTCGACGCGCAGACGCACAGTGGGCCAGAAGACCGGTGGAGGCGGCCAAAATTCTAGACGCGTTTTGAGCTCCAGAGTCGATAAATGGGACAGGAACCGAGCGTGTGACCCCACCAATGGATTCCTCGTTCGGAGAGCAATCCATTGGTGGGGTCACACGTTCGGTTCGAGTCCCATTTAGCGACTCTGGAGCTCAAAACGCGTCTGGAGTTTTGGCCGCCTCCACGCCCTGCGGCACGGCGGCCACGAGGAGGCGCACCTTCGAGGAGCGCTCGCACGCCGCGGTCCGGTGCGGTCGCACTGCAGCCCAGCAGGTGCACTGCTTTTCGTGCCGCCGTGACAGTGCTAGTTACTGCTCCGCGTTCTTCGCGTTGCTTTTCGTGCTTCCGAAAAGCGTGGCGAGGTTGTCAACCCTGCGACTCTCCACTCGCGCTGGCGCGGCCCATTCGTCGATTCGTCGCGGTGCTTCCCCCTCGCCCTCGCGGCCCTCGCGTCCAATGCGCTTCCGGGGCACCACACTCATACCGAGAGCCCGTTTCGTCGCTCTGTCTCTCTCGCTCCCATTGGGCGTCCCGTATAGGTGCGAGAGAGACAGAGTGACGAGGACGACTCTCGGTCTGCCGGTCCACAGTGGGCCAGAAGACCGGTGGCGGCGGCCAAAACTCTAGACGCGTTTTGAGCTCCAGAGTCGCTAAATAGGCCTCGAACCGAACGTGTGACCCCACCAATGGGTTCCTCGTTCGGAGAGCAATTCATTGGTGGGGTCGCACGGTCTTCGTTTGCTGGAGGGCTCCCCCCTCTCCCATTGCCGTCGCGCTCTCCGTGTGACGGTTGACACATTTGATGTGCTCGCCATTGTACCGCTACGTTCCGGCCCCGCCGTGCTTTGACCTACCTACTGCCACGGCGCCGTGCAGCAGCACTGGGTTCTAATCCCGCTTCCAAAACCTCTTTTTGTGTCTGTTTTTTCTCTTTTCTCCTGAGGTTGCTTTGCGAGGCACTCACGTGAGCGATCCCTCCGGGCGTTAAAACGCCCAAAAGTCACGCGGACGCTCACAGATACGGCCCCCGGCATTCGCTCTGAATATACTACCCACAGTGGGCCAGAAGACCGGCGGAGGCGGCCAAAACTATAGACGCGTTTTATGCTCCAGAGTCGCTGAGTGGGACTCGAACCGAACGAGTGACCCCACCAATGGATTGCTCTCCGAACGAGGAATCTAATGGTGGGGTCACACGTTCGGTTCGAGTCCCATTTAGCGACACTGGAGCTCAAAACGCCTCAAGAGTTTTGGCCGCCTCCACTGTGCTACGTCCCGGACACCGGGGAAGGGGGGAGGGGGGCTATAACAAAATAAGTTGCCGTCGTCTGCGCGCCGCGCCACGCCGCGCTGCCGGGGCTGGGAATAGTTGTGCGGGTTATGTGGGTCAAGCGGCCCATGATGGCGGCGCACTTGAACGCCTCCTGGACGCCGGGGACGACGGCCCGGCCACCCCGCTGCGGAGTGGTTCTGTCTCTCTCGCACCTTTACGGCACGCCCCATGAGTGCGAGAGAGACTGCGCCGCTGCGCCGCGTTGCGCCGGCCGCTGCTTCGATCGGGGTGGCCGGCGAGCAGGCCGAGCCCCACACCGCAAGCAGCAATGACTCTACGTGTGATAGCCAGCACGGCAGCGCACCCATTCCGGCCAATGCTCTGTCTCATTCGCACTCACGCGGCTCGGCTCGGCGGGGAGAGAGACAGAGCGCCGCGACGGGGCGCGTCCTTGTGCTCATTTCGATGATGAGGCCCCCGCCGACCCGCCGCGCCAGGACGGCCAGCCAGGCAGGTCGGCCTGGCCGATTCGAAGCGCCGATAGGCTGGCAGTGGAGTGGCATCGCCCGGCGGACCGGCCAATCCGCGGGCCTACCCATTTTGGCGCGCTTTCTCCACCCCACTCCCTTTCCCTCCACGCCCTGAGGGTCTCCCACAGTGGGCCAGAAGACCGGTGGAGGCGGATAAAGCTCTAGACGCGTTTTGAGCTCCAGAGTCGCTAAGCAGGACTCGAACCGAACGTGTGACCCCACCAATGGATTCCTCGTTCGGAGAGCAGTCCATTGGTGGGATCACACGTTCGGCTCGAGTCCTGTTTAGCGACTCTGGAGCTCAAAACGCGTCTCGAGTTTGGGCCGCCGGCGTTGGTCTTCCGGCCCACTGTGGCTCCCCCTCGGCGAGCTGGGGGTGCCTTGCAGTGCCGTGACGCCGCGGTGGTTTTGCATGCTGGAGTGCTATGCTAATGATGCGCCGTCTCTCTCGCTCCGCCGCGACGCCCGAGGTGCCGCCGCCCCGGCCCGCCGCGCGCCGCGCGCTGCGCCTCGAGACGGAGCACGCCGAGAAGGTCAAGTTGGCGTGCAAATAGAACCGCAGGCCGGATGCGGCGCGCGCGCGGCGGCGCGGTTCGCCTTCGAAAGGCAGAGCGGCAGAGCCGAGGCAGTGCTGCCACACGAGCAGGCGGAAGGCCCCACGATGCACGAGAGTCGAGAGGGTTGCCAACCTCAGACAACTCCACGAAAGCTTGGGCGCTGCCTAGTAGGCAGGCTGAGGTTGGCAACCCTGCGTGTGACCCCACCAATGGATTCCTCGTCCGGGGAGCAATCCATTGGTGGGGTCACACGTTCCGGTCTGGTCCCATTTAGCGACCCTGGAGCTCAAAACGCGTCCGGAGTTTTGGCCGCCTCCACCGGTCTTCTGGCCCACTGTGCACTGCGACCCTGGGGATGCAAATGAACAATGAAAAGCCGCGCTTTACGCTGTGTGTTGGGTGCCGCAGGTGGAGCCTGGCCGTGGCCGTGCTGGCCGTGGTGCTGGCCCCCGCCGACCTGGCCCTGCCGACGGTGGGGGGCGCGGGGGCCGCCAAGGCGGTGGCCGCCAGGGCCAAGGCGAACGTGGCGACGCCCAGCCCCGCCGCCTTCGACGACAACGTAAGTAAAGGCCAGAGCCGTGTCCTTGAACACGGCTCCAGGACGTCACGCGACCGTCGCTGCCTTTTACACTGTACTGAGCATTCGTTTCGTTTCGTTTTGCAGTTCCGGTCCAAGCGGCAGGAGGTGGCGGGTGAGTCACCACCTCGTTTGCATGTCGAGCTGTGCTTCGCCGCTCTGTCTCTCTCGCACTCACGGGGCGTCCCGCAGGGGAGCGAGAGAGACAGAGCAGCGGAATCTCTGATGCAACCTAACCTAACCTAACCATGTCTGTAAACGTGTTGGTCTCGTCCTCCGCAGAGATCTGCGACTTCGGCGCCGACGTGGACATCACGCTGTGCGACTGGTCGACCCGCAACGCCACCCCGGGGCAGGGCCACGTCCCGCGCTGGGAGGGCGGCGCGGGCACGCTCTCCAACTGGATAGGGGGGCCGCCCAAGGACGCGGGCGGCGGCGAGAGCACGGACAAGGGTGGGTACACCGTACACGTCTGCTGTGTCTGCCAGCCACTTCTCCACGTGCACCTCTTGCACTCCACGCAATGCACAGTGGGCCAGAAGACCGGTGGAGGCGGCCGAACCTCTCGACGCAGTTTGAGCTCCAGAGTCGCTAAAAAGGACTCGAACCGAACGTGTGACCCCACCAATGGATTCCTCGTTCGGAGAGCAATCCATTGGTGGGGTCACTCGTTCGTTTCGAGTCCCATTTAGCGACTCAGGAGCTCAAAACGCGTCTGGAGGTTTGGCCGTCTTCTGGCCCACTGTGAGGGAGATTCGGCCTGCGTGAGTGGCCATGGCACACTGCTGCAGGCGGCTACGCCTTCTTCGAGACGTCGCTGCTGGGCAGCGCGGACGTGCGCGTGCCCTCGTCGGCGAGCCTGGAGAGCGCGCCGCTGGAGACGACGGGCGCGGAGGGCAAGTGCCTGACGTTTAGCTACGCCATCGACGGCCTCAGCGCGGCCGGGCTGCGCGTGCTGCTGCGGCCCGCCAGGCTCGACGGCGGCCCCGCGGGCGCGGAGCGGGAGCTGTGGGCCGCCAGGGACTCGACGGGCAAGCAGTGGCTGCCCGCCGCCGTGCTGTACACCTTCAACACGGAGCACCAGGTTGGTCCAGGTCAAGGTGCAGGGAACGGCCATGGAACAGCACGGCGCACAGTGGGCTAGAAGAACGGAGGAGGCGGCCAAAACTCCAGACGCGTTTCGAGCTCCAGAGTCGCTAAACGGGACTCGAACCGAACGTGTGACCCCACCAATGGATTCCTCGTCCGGAGAGCAATCCATTGATGGGGTCACACGTTCGGTTCGTCCCATTTAGCGACTCTGGAGCTCAAAACGCGTCTGGAGTTTCGGCCGCCACCGGACTTCAGGCCCACTGTGTGGCGGTGGACTCGGAAACACCACGGCGTCGTCCTGCTGCAGGTGGTGTTCGAGGGCCTGGCGCGCGAGGCCAGCGACCCGCGGCGCAAGTTCCGCGGCCACGTGGCGGTGGACGACATCGCGCTCAAGGCGGGCTCCGAGTGCCGCGGACACTGCACCTTCGAGGGCGGCCTGTGCGGCTGGGTCAACGACGAGGACGACGACTTCGACTGGACGCTGGGCCGCGGCTCCAGGAACCCGTCCACGGGGCCGGCCACCGACAGGTCCTCGTTCGCGTACGGCGGGCTGCAGGGCGGCTACGCCTACATCGACTCCAGGCAAGTCAAGCTAGCTGCGGGCAGGGCAGTGGGTCAGAAGACCGCCGCCTGCGGCCGAAAACTCGAGACGCGCTTTCAGCTCCAGAGTCGGTAAACAGGACTCGAACCGAGCGTGTGACCCCACCAATGGATTCCTCGTCCGGAGAGCAATCCATTGGTGGGGTCACACGCTCGGTTCGAGTCCCATTCAGCGACTCTGGAGCTCAAAACGCGCCTGCAGTTTTGACCGCTCCGCCAAGGCGCCTGTGAGGCAGGCCCGCCCGCGGCGCGCTCCTGCGTGGCGGGCCTGCCTACCCTCGTCTTGACGGGCGCTCCTTGGCCGCCTTGGCTGACGCGCTGACGCTGACGCCGTCGCCTCTGTTCCAGCTTCCCGCGCCGACCCGGAGACATGGCGCGCCTGTCCAGCGCCGAGCTGGAGCCCACGGCCGTGGACAGCCCGCTGTGCCTGCGCTTCTGGACGCACATGTACGGCAACGGCGTGGGCACCCTGAGCGTGCAGCTCACCGACACGCGCGAGGAGGGCCACGAGCAGGTGCTGTGGACGCTGTCGGGGGAGTCGGGCAACGCGTGGTACCAGGCGCAGGTCACCGTGTCGTCCGCCAACCCGTTCAGGGTCAGTTCCGCGCCCAGGGTCGCGCTACACAGTGGGCCGGAAGGCCGGCGGAGGCGGCCAAACTCCCGGACGCGTTTTGAGCTCCAGAGTCGCTAAACAGGACTCCCGAACGTGTGACCCCACCAATGGATCCCTCGTCCGGAGAGCAATCCATTGGTGGGGTCACACGCCCAGTTCGAGTCCTGCTTAGCGACTCTGGAGCTCAAAACGCGTCTAGAGTTTTGGCCGCCTCCGCCGGTCTTCCGACCCACTGTGCGTCAGTCCGCGTCGCTTTTGAACCATTTCATTTTTGGCGGTGTCGTTCCACCTCGCAGATTGTGCTGGTGGGCCGCGTGGGGCGTAACAGCCTCGGCGACATCGCGGTGGACGACGTGTCTCTCTCCACCGGCAGCTGCCCGAGTGAGTGCGAGCGCCCTGCGGTTTCCAACCACTACTCACAGAAACATTTTTTTTTTAATTTTAATCTTTTTTCCCTTTTACCGCAGCCGCGCCGCAGGTGGCGTCGTCCTCGCGCGTGGACTGCACGTTCGAGGTGGACGAGTGCGGCTGGGTGAACGTGGCGCCCCGCGAGCGCCGCGACGACATGGACTGGGAGCGCGCGTCCGGCGCGGGCCAGCGCTCGCAGCTGCGCGACCACACCGTCGCTTCGGACAAGGGTTCGAATCCCGGCGCCGCCGGATGATATTTTAATTATTTTTTTTCGCGCCTTTTTTCCGCCGCTGTGACGCTCTGACGGCGTGACCCCGCGCGTCCTTTCGCTCCTTTTGTCCGCAGGCTCGCTCATGACGCTGGAGCGGTCGAGCGTGCAGCGCCCCGGCAGCAGGGCGTGGCTCACTTCCGAGAAGATAAACGGATCCTCCCAAGCGCGCTGCCTGTCGTTCTGGTAATGCAGCCTGCCTAGTCCAGCAGGGGCGGCTCGCAGTGGGCCAGAAGACCGGCGGAGGCGGCCAAAACTCTTGACGCGTTTTGAGCTCCAGAGTCGCTAAGCAGGACTCGGACCGAACGTGTGACCCCACCAAAGGATTCCTCGTTCGGCGAGCAATCCATTGGTGGGGCCACACGTTCGGTTCGAGTCCTGTGGGGTGACTCTGGAGCTCCCGCCTCCACCGGTCTTCTGGCCCACTGTGTTACCCAGCCACCTTGTCGAGCACGCCGTCACGGCCTTGCCTGCCTTGCCTGCCCGCAGGTACATCATGAACGAGCCCTTCGTGGACACGGCGGGGCCCAGCCTCGGCTCGCTGGCCGTGCTGGTGCGCGGCCTGGGCGAGGCGGCGGCGGGGACCCCCGCCCAGGCGGTGTTCCGCCTGTACAACAACCAGGGCCCCGACTGGAAGTACGCCCAGGTGGCCATCACCGACACCCGCGACATCACGGTCAGTGCAAGGACACTCGCTCACTCCTGTTTGTCCGTATGTCTGTCTGTCTGTCTGAATCAACTCATCTCCCCGTTTCTGGCCGCAGCTCACGTTCGAAGGCAGCTGGGGCTCAAGCAGAGCCAACGGCATCATTGGCATCGATGACATCGCCATCTTCCCCAGCCAGTGCACCAGTGAGTTTTCGCTTGGCCTTTCTGACGGCATCCCTGTCTGACGGCCAGGCTCGGACTGGCCAGGGAAGACAGGCAGACAGGCCGGGGCCTTCGGGTTTGGGGGCAGTGACGCCACTAAGTTGGTCAAAGAGTGATTGAATCTCGTTGAATCTCCGAAAGTAGCCGTTTTTGCTGAATTTGGGCGGCCACTGCGTTCGATCTAGTAGCGGCCAACGGCGTCCCTCAACGCCCTAGTATTCTTAAGACCCTACTCTTTCATGCCCTGTTTCGGGAAGACGTTGACCACAACGATTTTGGGACCAAAGTTGGTCAAAAAGTGGTCAAATCTCGGAAATTTGCTGATTTTGCTGACTTTGGGTGGCCACTGTGTCCAATCTAGTCGCCGTAAAAGGCCTCCCGCGACGTTCTAGCATTCTTAAGACCCCACTCTTTCATGCCCTGTATCGGGAGGACGTTGACCACAACGATTTTGGCTTTGACCGCAACGATTTTCCGACCAAGTTGGTCAAAAAGTGGTCGAATCTCGGAAATTTGCTGATTTTGCTGACTTTGGGTGGCCACTGTGTCCAATCTAGTCGCCGTAAAAGGCCTCCCTCGACGTTCTAGTATTCTTAAGACCCTACTCTTTCATGCCCTGTATCGGGAAGACGTTGACCACAGCGATTTTGGCTTTGACCGCAACGATTTTCCGACCAAGTTGGTCAAAAAGTGGTCGAATCTCGGAAATTTGCTGATTTTGCTGACTTTGGGTGGCCACTGTGTCCAATCTAGTCGGCGTAAAAGGCTTCCCTCGACGCCCTAGTTACTAGGGCCTAGTATTCTTAAGACCCTTCTCTTTCATGCCCTGTATCGGGAAGGCTATTGACCGCAAACAGTTTTGGAGCGGTAGCCTCACAAAGTTGGTCATGAAGGGCCTTTTGGGGGCCAGCCCGAGCCTGATGACGGCGTCCCTTGCCTGACGGCGTCCTCTGCTTGCAGCCCTGCCGGCCGCGGCGGCGGTGCGGCAGGCCGAGTGCCACTTCGAGCGCGACACGTGCAACTGGTCCAACGAGACCAACGGCATCTCGCCGGCGTCCTGGCGGCTGGCGTCGCTGGCGCGGCGGCCGTCCAGCCTGCCGGACAAGACCTTCGGCGCGCCGGAGGGCTACATCTTCTTCGACCTGTTCGCCGCCAGCAAGAAGGGCTCCAAGGACACGGCGCGGCTGGTGTCGCCGCTCATCCAGGCCTCCACCGAGGAGCCCTTGCAGTGCCTCACCTTCTGGTACGCGGCCTTCGGTGTGGGCGACTCGGCCGAGCTGCGCGTCGTCAAGGCGGACAACTCCAGCGGCGAGCTGACGCTGGACAAGGTGAGCACCGCGAGCACGCACAGTGGGCCGGAAGACCGGTGGAGGCGGACAAAACTCTAGACGCGTTTTGAGCTCCAGAGTCGCTAAATGGGACTCCAACCGAACGTGTGACCCCACCAATGGATTCCAGGTTCGGAGAGCAATCCATTGGTGGGGTCACACGTTCGGTTCGAGTCCCATTTAGCGACTCTGGAGCTCAAAACGCGTCTAGAGTTTTGGCCCCTTGCGCCGGTCTTCTAGTCCACTGTGCCAAGGGGGGCGCGGTGCCGCGGATGTTGACGGCCCCGTTGTTGCAGCTGTGGGAGCTGCAGTCCGCCGGCATGGACACGGCGCACCCCGTGTGGATGCCCGCGCAGGTGCCCCTGGACCTGGGCCAGGACTTCACGCTGCTGCTGGAGGGCCAGGCCGTCAACGGGGGCTTCGCCGTGGACGACATCACCCTCAGCCCGGGTTCCTGTCCAAGTGAGTGGCGCCCAAGCAGTGTGGCAGCCAACATAACCTGGCCTAACCTAACATAACCTGACCTAACCTAACATAACCTGACCTAACCTAACATGTTCACTTTGCAGCGCGGCCGCCGTCGGCGATCCCCAAGAAGACGGACGACAACGGCAGATAGAAGGCCGAGGCGTGGCGTGACGCACTCGGCGCGTTGCTGTGACACTGTGAAACGAATCTAGTCTGAGCGCTCTGCTCGCTCTGCTTCTCGGCAGTCGGCCACTGCGAATACGAATTTGAATCTAGGATAAGACCGGCGGCACCCGCAGCATTTTGCCCTCTTGGGCCTTTCCCCTTCCCCGATCTCAACGTGCGGCTGCGGGAGTCTACGCAATTCGTCACTCTTCCTTCTTGCATTTTCGGCTCGGTCCGAATCAAAGTCTTCGTTTCGTTCTGGCACTTCCCTGTACTTCGCGCGGAATTCCCTGCGTTCTCCTCTCATCCTTCGGTCTAGGAGGGTTCTAGCGCAAGTTTCTTTTCGCTTTCCAAGTCCCATTCGGTCGGGAGCTCGTCGGTCACAGGACAAACCTTTCTAGGCACTCGCCACTTACTCAAAAATTAGTTATTTGCCACCATTTTCTACTTTTGATCTCCAGATGTGTGTGCAAAGTTTTCCTTTGTGTGATACTAAGTACCTGGGGTACCCTGGGCCCTGGCAGCCACTCTTACATTTACTTCCTAGGATTTAAAAAAACCGTTCAACGGGTATTCAACACCCGCGGGGCGGCGCTGACGGCCAGTGACTGTATATTTTTTTCTTTTTTTTTGTTAAATGAGCAGCAAAGTTATGAAATATGGTACTCTCTATTAGTTGTCTTATTTTGTAAATATGTAAAAAGTTAGGCCATAGATGCTTGTTGAAAGAACTTGTATAGTTGGTAATTCTCAATGTGGCTGGTATCTCTAAAACCAACCTTTTCCCTTGGATTGTATTCATTGATTTGATTGTATACAGTAATACTGTGCTGTTCTCAGGATAGATAAATAAAATAATGACATTAATTCAGGTTACAAGTTGATTTATGTGATTCCACAGTTACACATGATTCCTTCTTGATACCTGAATTAAAGCGGCATGCAAAGCAGAAAATATTTTGCAACAGACCCAAAGTTTCCGTTGCAGAGACAGAGACAAGCCTACTGCATCAATTCGTATAAGCAAAATTTGGTACATGACATACGATGCTTATACACAGGATATGCAAAGTGGCTATCCATTTAGCTCTGATACTCCTCAAACTTCAGTACCATATATTATGTATCATAAATCCAAATTTATACTTGATAAGAATTCATCACTATCATACCACAGAACCTCAAATAGCTGGATTACAAACACAATTGTTTCAAAATTCATTCTACTAGAAGGCATACAACCTGAAATAATTAACGGTTGGCTCAGTGTTATCAACATACATCCATGCTTGTTCTCAAGTCAAAAATCAGGTAAAGGATCAACAAATCTTGTAATGCTTTTAAGGTTCATATTGCACAATTTTCACAAGAATAGAGGAGGAAAATAAATCACAATTAACAATGGCGAGATAAATCTAAACATTTGGTTCTCAAGATCTTGACAGATCATGAGTGCAATTAGCTATTTAGAACATGACTCATTTCAATTGATTTATCTCTCAAAGATCATCTAAAAACAAAAAACAAAAAATTATTAAAAATTATTATAGCGGAATGTGTGAATATTTTATTTTTAACATTACACTTACAAAGTTAACTAGACTCTTTTTTATAATTTTTACATTGCTTTGTTGGCCATGGCCACACTGAAATGAAAGATTGCACAGCCCATAGGAAACAATTCTAAGACCAACAGAGGAGTTCCCAATATGATGCATTTGATGCACATTTCCTACATACTGCTTCCTGAAACGGAGAATTCCTTGTGCATATCAATGGTATGTTTACATAGTTACAATCAAGCTTTCCAAAACAGCAAATTTTAATGAAGTATCATAACCCCACAGGGAACCCACCAAAATGACTACTATGAAGTGGATGACAAATGTGTCACTAAAATATGAAAATAAAATAAAATGAGTGTAACCAGAACATTAATATTGAATGATCTGACCTATATTAACTAGGTACCCTGTATAAATTAAGAATATGTACTTCAAATTCGCAGCAAAGGAACAAATGCAAACCACAACTGCCATGCGCATGGAATAAATGCAGAGGTCTCAAAGGCTACGTTCCGGGAACAACAACGCACAATCTTCTTTGTCTAATACTGCTGGAACATTGAGCTAGTATATTTGAATCATCCCCCTAAAATAATATTGATCTTCCCAATTTAAAGAGGCTGATTTAGGTTTCAGAGGCATGCAACACCAGTTTCTTTTACACAACTAAAAGCGTGCATAGATGTTTTGAACTAGAAACAAAAATTATTGTCATTGCTGCTCTGTACATTCTATCATGAAATAACACAATATTAACAGTACATATATATATATATTTATAACTTTGATACACATTTTTTTATCTTATCATAGTTGATTCGAACATTAACAGGTCTGAATTCAAATACACATACAAAGCAATACATTTCCAAATTGCCCGAGAGCTAGAGAACCAACAATGAACGGTGACCAAGGTATTACATGCTGTTCCTCTTTATAAAATCAAAATGCTTTGATTCAAAGCAAATACATTGTCAGTGAATGGCAAGTGCAACAGCCACACAATCTTCATAAAGATAAGCTCCAACAAAGCAAAAGGCAGAAAATGAGTCACATGTACATGAAATGGAAACTTTCCACACTTATTGCCTTCATGTAGTTACATGACATGATTATGAAAATGGCCTCTACTGGATTTAATAAATAGCAGAACAAGCCATAAAAAGATGTAGCGCTGTCACTCTAAGATTAGAACCACAAAACAGTGCACATCAAATCTATGGTATCTCCACTTTCAAGGCACAAAACAGCCAAAACAAAATCAATCAGGAAATCTAGGGTTTCAAATTCATGGGTAAGCCCACACAGGGGGCATGTCAACAGATGATGTTGAAAATTCCAAGCTAATTCTAAACTCACTGGGGTTGGAGATTCACCTACTTAACTGGCATGATCAGTAATACGAAGATCAAATTAAGTGCCAGGCCCAGGGAGGAATGGGTGAATCCGTGGAAATCCAGGCGGGACGGTGGTGTCACTGTACCCACAAACGCGGTAAAGCTGTACTGATTTTCCTTTTTTGCTCTAATTACTGTATGGGCTAGTTTTTACCAGCGAAGGACACGCCGCGAGAGGAAAGGGGTGTCCGAGGTGTCGACGTGTTGACGGTGACGGTCTTCCTGGCCAAGTGCTGCTGCACTCGTGCTGATGGTCGCACTCCGAATGGACTTGAACCAGGGAAGGTTCCAGGAGAACTGGATGGGGACTGAAGGGTGGAAGTTGGGCTGGATGGAGGTGACTGGGGAGGAGTTGAAGAATCCCTTTCTACCCCCATGTTCCGAATGAAGTCCTGACGTTGGGACCTGATTAGTTATGGCCACAGTAGTAAGCAAATTACCATTAAGGGCCTGCCTCACCTCCAAGCTCTCTTCCCTCTCGAGTTTACCAATCAGGTGTAACGGGAAAGAGGTTCCCAGGCCGCGACCCACCCTTCCCGCGACAATGGTACCGTGACACTCTACTGCCCGACCCGGAAAAGAAACGGTCGGTTTATTCCCGTTTTACCCAGTTAACAGCCGAATAATAATAATAAAATAAAATAAATAATTTCTATATCAGTTTTACCCGGCCCGGCCAGTTAATCCGCGTTTTAGCTAGTTAAAACGCGTTTTGACCGGGGACCGGACATTAACTGTAACATATATATATATTTATAACTTTGATACACATTTTTTATCTTATCATAGTTGATTCGAACATTAACAGGTCTGAATTCAAATACACATACAAAGCAATACATTTCCAAATTGCCCGAGAGCTAGAGAACCAACAATGAACGGTGACCAAGGTATTACATGCTGTTCCTCTTTATAACATCAAAATGCTTTGATTCAAAGCAAATACATTGTCAGTGAATGGCAAGTGCGACAGCCACACAATCTTCATAAAGATAAGCTTCAAAAGCAAAAGGCAGAAAATGAGTCACATGTACATGAAATGGAAACTTTCCACAATTATTGCCTTCATGTAGTTACATGACATGATTATGAAAATTGCCTCTACTGGATTTAATAAATAGCAGAACAAGCCATAAAAAGATGTAGCGCTGTCACTCTAAGATTAGAACCACAAAACAGTGCACATCAAATCTATGGTATCTCCACTTTCAAGGCACAAAACAGCCAAAACAAAATCAATCAGGAAATCTAGGGTTTCAAATTCATGGGTAAGCCCACACAGGGGGCATGTCAACAGATGATGTTGAAAATTCCAAGCTAATTCTAAACTCACTGGGGTTGGAGATTCACCTACTTAACTGGCATGATCAGTAATACGAAGATCAAATTTAAAGGACAAAAATATATAAAACAAACAAAATAAAGACAAGGGCTGCTTTCCCTTTAAAATAATAAAGACTAGTCTAAATACAATAGCTATACACATTAAAGATAATTTATTCATCGTCACATAAGAGCACTTAAAAAGTCTGCTAAGATTACAAAGATAACTGAGCAAAACAAACAAAATGTGTTTGAAAGAATACCCATAAAACAAGGTTCGCAAGACTAAGGGAAATGAACTGAGAAGAATACTCCGTAATGTGGAGCAAAGGGATGATAACAGAACAATGGCATATTCTTCTAGATGACTGAGTCGAACAACAACAGTATTTACAGCACAACATGCCAACTACTACACACTGCTAGTGACAAGCACACCCCAAAAAAGGCACAACGCTACGGACCTACGACTGTGCAATGCAAATACTTCCAGAATAATTGGTTCAAATTGATATACAATTATATATAGATATCATATATATAAATCTTTATACATATTCATCAAATAAAGTGAAAATCTTATTTCATTTCCTTTTTCACTTGAAGTTTCCCCCCAAAAGTAAATGAAAATAAAATTTATGATAACCATGAAGACAAATTTAACTTGGTATTGCTGGGGCTTTGGTTCAAGATATACACATACAACAGTTTGTGCTTCAGTAGTGACCAGAAATGTTCTTGGCAGAACTTCAATCCAGTCTTGTAAAGAAAGCTTGCACAAATAAAGCTCAGTTACAGAAATACATTGCATTTAATGAAAAATATCAGTTAAAAAAACAATACAAAGGAAAAACTCAGGATTAAGACAATTCTGTAGTACGGATAGCTTAAAATTCAATACAACTTTAACAACAACATCAACATACAAACTTCTTTTTTCATGCAAACCATGACACTTGGATTCAAACCAAATGAGGAATAATATCAAAGGGGACATCAACTTTGGAAATTAAAAAATTCCAAGTATACATGAGGATCAACACAAAGAATAATGAGACAATGGTTCTTCTTTCCAAAATTCATTGATAACAAACTGACTTTAAAAATTATACAGTTAGAAGGCACTGATGACTTATCTATCCTATTCATGACAATGTTGAAAAATAGTGGCAACATTAAAAGAATGGGATGACGGTCGTCTTCAGTGCATAAAACTCCGACAAAGAAGCTCACTCAAATTGGTCAGCAAGAAGGTCACATATTTCTTGCGATACTGTCTCCTTGCTGGACCGCACAGTCAGGCGATACATCTGAAAAACACACAGAGAGATTATTTACTATTTTAGCTCCTAGGAAGGTACTGATTCAAAACGAAAGTGAAAAACAGTCACCTGAGCCTGCTTGTTGGGTTCAAGACGAAGGAGACAACCAATCTGAGCTGCTCGGGCGTGGATGATTCCAGCACAGACGAAGTTGTCAGGGTTAGGGTCTATTCCATCCAACAATTGCATGCCGAAGCCCATCACCTTGGTTCTCGCTGATGCTAGGTCCATAGGTGGAGAAGCTTTGAAGATTTTCTGAGCACGCTGCTTATCACTGAAACACAAACCACACTAAACCATGAAGTACAGATCAGGGAGCACTCAGTAAAGCGGAGCGGCAGAGAGGTGCAACTCACCCTCCCAAATTTTTCCAGCGAGCAAAGAATGACTCTCCATTCATTTCTGTCGGCTCGAAAAACTTATTGATAGTTAAAGGAAGCTTGATGGTTATCTTCTGAGGAACATTGTTGTAAATAAAAGATATGTTCATACTGGGTGCATCTAGAAAGAGCGAGAAAACAATAAGGTCAAGACAACTTTAATTAAAAGAAAGCATGACACCTTCAAATCTTACTGAAAAGTAATTAAATTACCAATGTAATCTTCAACACATTCTCCATTCAACACTTGCAATTTCTGGGCACCAGCCTCCAGGACAGAATCCATGGGTTTCATCTGAATGACCAATTTGCTTGCCAGATCACCTGGACTTGAAACAGTGGTCTCATAATTCTGGAAATAATAAGTGAAAGGTAAGATAATAAAGAAACCGAAAATTGCAATCGCAAAAATGAAAAAAAAAAAAAAAAAAAAAAAAAAAAAAAAAAAAGCACACAGCTTACCACTAGAGGGAACGGAGTCTTATTGCCATGGAAGAGAGCTATCCTGCCCAAATTTTGTCTAAATTCGGACTTGACACCAATTTGAACAAGGTCATTTTCAAAAAGAACACCATTATTCTTGCAAACAAACCTAAGTAAAACAGAAAATGCAATCATAAGAATGATCTGAAATGAACATGCTCTCCAAGCCGTAGTCGTAACAACTTACTTTTTAGGATTGTAGGATTGGGCAGCAGTAAAGCTGCTGTTCTGTTGTGCTTGCCCACCCTGCCCACCATACATGTCACCCAACACATCCACAAGCATGCCAGTGTTGCTTGGAGCAGTTGGTTGGTTTGCTGGAGGGGTGGACAGGCCGAGAAGATCGGCAGAGGCATTAGCTGATACAGCAGACGGCTTGGCATGTGAGACAATCGAATCGTTGTGGTTTGTAGCTAGGGCTGGATTGGGGCTACGACCCTCACGGATTTCGTTTTCAGGAACTCTGCCTGGTTTTTTCTTTTTCAGGACAGCAAGAATAGATGATTCACGCTCAGGGAAAGCAGGCATTTCTTCCAACACTGTGGCCTGGAAACAAAAAGGCACTACGTACTGACTGGGACCTTCAGGACAACACATGAGCTCATTCTGCATTACTCACTAGAACATCTGTGGAAGCAATCACACTGAGTTGTAGGTATTCTGAGGCTCTTTGCTGTAGCTCAGCATCTGCACTTCGCAAGTTGCTGTGTTGCTTGAATACCTCCTGAATGTTGTGTTTAATTTCAGGGAATAGATTGACAAATTTCACATAAGTTGAAAGCAAGAGAGCCCTGGTCATTGGAGAGCAAAGATGATACTAAAAGGAAATCGAAGAAACAAAATTATTAATAAATGAACACACAATGCAGCAAAAGTTGAGGACTAAAATAGACGAAAAGAAAGAAAGTTAGTGAAATACCTTGGAATGTAGCAACTGGAACTGTACAAGGGGTGAAGATCGCTGGTCGCCAGCAATGAGATTACCAAATTCACCTAAAATATAGCCACCCACTTTCACCATGTTCTCATGACAGGCAGGAGCTTGAAGAGCCTGAAATTTCAGATTTGAAATAGTAAAAATCAAGTTTGTTGTCGAGGGAAACCAGGCACTTGCATCAACAGCCTTACCTCAAACACAGTCTTAGCAGCATAACCTTGTACATCGTCCCGATTTATAACGATTTGAATGACTCGGTACCAGACTTCTTCAGACACATAATCACCAGCTATTCTGATTAGATTCAATATGACATCCACATACCATGTGTAATCCGTGGCATACTTTTCAGCTAAGATTGCCACTTTCAGAACCTACAACATAAAAAAAAGGAAGAGGTAATTATTGTCTCTAGAGAGGAAGCTTGAACAATTTATTTTCTTCAAAATAATGGAAACTGAATACAATACCATTTCCTCTCTGATGGAGTAGTCGGCTGTTTCAAGATAGTTGAGCATTTCTTGAACAATCTCTTCGGCATTACTCTTATCACACATAGCATATAGGAGATCAACAGCTTGTTGTCGAACTGATACATCTTTTTCCATCTGCAAGTTGGAAGTGAAATGTTAATAAGCATACAAATACAACAGACTCATACATGAGGTGGAAAAAAAAAAAGCCAATGCCAACCTTCATGGAGAGGATGACAACTTCTTGATGCTTCTTCACAGCTTCATGAGAAAATTCAGAAGTGGCAAGTAAACACATTGATTCCAATGCAAGATATCTGAGGTTAGTTTCCCGGTTTGATAGGAACTGCCCCAGTTGGTTACACGCACGCACAAGAAGATTGGGTTCACTACACAGACAAACCAAGAACAATTAAACACCACTACATACCATTTAATCTAGGTTGTGAAAGTAAAGGTGATTACCTGTCATTGTGAATAATTAAACTGATAGCTTCAAACAGAACAGCATTCTTAGCATTGGAGTGCTGAACCTTCTTCGACTTTGGCGCTTCCTGTGCTTTATTCAGGATAGTTTCTAGACATTCATTTAGTCGGCCACGAACACCTGGGTCATCTGGGGTAAAAATAAATCATACTGTTAGCCTGGAGCAATGCAACAAGAACAAGTTACCTACATGACAAATCATGTACCTGGGGGTGAATAATTCTGCAATAATCTTAACAACTTGACAGACAGCCATGGTGCAGGAACAAAGTAGTATGTGTAATCTTGAAGATCTGTGTAACTAGCAGTAACAATCTGAAAGCAAAATTTTTTTTTTATGGGCAATAAGAAAAATCTTGCAGGTTACAAATTAATCGATAAACTATAGACAAACGTAGAAACAAAATCAAACCCAACATACCCGACTAAGTCGAGATACAGCAAGACTGATGCAACCCTTGTACTCATCAGGATTCTTCTTCACTAAGGCATCAATAAGCGATGTTGCAGCAGTCACCACCCCCATGTGTTGGTCATTGAGAAGGTGAATAATGCGGGAAGTCCATTCACCACTGGGAATCATTTCTTGAGAAGTACGGAATAATCGAAGAAGACACAAGGCAGCAGATTGCTTCACCACGTCCATAGTATCCCTATGAATGAAAAAAAAAGCTCACAATAATTATGACAGCAAATATGGAAGCGAAATGGGTAATGGCATTGGCAGTGCTTACCCTGAAACAAGAAGCTTAGGAATATCATAGCCAAAGGCCTCAGCCATTTCCTTGCTGCCAATGTTGGCAATACATTGCATAGCTAGGTTCAAATGAGTAGGATTGCGGGACTGCAAATCATTCTTGATGCTTTGAATAATAAGCTTGATTAAATCACTATTTGTGTTGACCAACACAGATATGAAAAGGTAACCCTGGAGGACAAAAAATGACCAATAAGAGATATTTTGAAACTAAAAAATAATATAATACGACAGGCCATCCACATGCAAATAAAAGCACATCAAAATCATTTTTAAAAAACAACAAAACAAACAACTTACAATTTGCTTCTCTGAATACTTGTTAGAAGATAGCAGGTTGACAGCCTCCATATGGCCAAAGTCGATATCATGTCCAAGAAGGAAGATGAAAAGAAGTTTGCAGACATACTTCTTTTTCTGATATCCATCTAGTGTTCGATCACCTTTAAATTTACTTCTTATATTGGCTAGTTCTTTATTTATTCTTTTAATTTCTGATTCTTTACTCTTACCTGAAAACAAAAGACTCATCATTATCAAAATAAAGTCACAATAGAAAGAACTAACTGCATGCAAAAGAATATGAACTTACAATTGCGAATGTCTGAGATGAAGACAGACAAGCCTCGCATACCATCCCCACGGACGGCCGGCATGGTTGCACCTTATTTGACCTGAAAAAAGAAAATGCAATTCAAGTCACTCATATGATCAGATAAAATCAACACATTGCTCTAGATATAGAATTTGAGGCTAAGACTTGTCATTCCAGATAAGAAAACATGGAAAACACCCGCACAGATAAGCTATTCAGTTACCACTAAGGTAAGGAAACCAGCATCACATGGCAAAGCTGTCCTCTTAAAAGAATTTGATAACAAGTTACAGATGGTTCCAATGATTTATGATGTTAATGAGGTACTCAACAATTGAAGGACATAGTTAGGTCAAAACTAGCCCTCACTAAAAATAACAGCAGTTGACAACAGCCAGACCTGTGAGGCATGAAGTCACCTTGAGCTAACAAAGTAGAAGCCAATACAAACAAAAACATTGAGGATGGCTGACTAAATGTTGCCCAAATTTATATTGAATTTATGCCATCCAAGTGCCAACATTTAAACAAATATAAATAGCTAGGAATAACATCAGAAAAAACAAGGAGATTTGAACATCTTAAAATTAGAGCCAAGAGCAAATGTCAACTGATGGAAAAAAAAATTTGAAAATTGAAAAATAAATTCAACAAATTTAATTTTTGATTTACAAAAATGGTGAATCAAAAGTTTCAACATGAAATTGATGGATAAATCTGTGGTATCACTCAAAAATCATTTGTTCAAGACAACTTGGTGATACCAAAGAGGACGAAAGACAAAAAATGTGAGAGGCTGACATTATTGATTTTTTGACTTTGACAGATTGAGGTTATGCTGACGGCAGACACATGCATCACAGCGAACCAGACTCGAGAAAATCGCCTCTCCGAACGCAAAGTGAAATAAAGGAGTGATTTCCTCGGGAACAACACAAACGAGGCAAACGCCGGGAGCGCAAAGGGAGAGTAGCAGACCGGGAAAGCAGGGCCCTGCACTGGTCAAGCAACAGGAACAGCACTGGAGGGACGGTGCTGACAGGACTCCAACGGTGCCACTTGACAGTCAACGAGCAAAACAGACTCGTCCACCAGTGTGCCTGTCAGGGCGACCCTCCTCGCCGCCCCGCCTCAAAATTGACAGGCCGAAGCCGAACTGACCACTTGACAGTGCAGCAGCCCACCGCCCCGGCAGGGCGAAGGCACGTCACATCGGTAGCTCATACGTTGACAATTTTGCGTCCAACCTCGCTCGCTCCAACGCGGCGGCCTGGCTACCGCAGTCCGAGAGGGATGAATGAAAGTCCACCGACGGGAGCAAATGTCAGCAAAATAAAGCTCGGGGGCGCTTCGTTGAATCAATTCAATGAATGAACGACTTGGCGCTGAATCTGCACAGAGTCACTCCCCCCAACGAACTCCTTGGCCGACATTTCGGGGCCCGTTGGTAAGGCCAACGAATCCAACGCAACACCAAGCAAACGGGCACTCACTCGACAAAACAGTGCAACTATTGTGTGATGAGTAATTTCACCAACACTGCCGAAAGGATCCTTCAAACCGCTCTTCTAGTCCAAATGCTCGACGGTTGTCGCCATTTGCAGATCTGTCCACCCACTTGGGTGCTGTCCACTAACAGTTTGACTGGTCGGAAACCGGTCTTACTTTTAGAAAAGAAATTCGCGTGACAGGGATAAAAACCTTACTTTTCAGATCAAAAACTCTGTTTTTATTATTTAAAATATTTACAGAACCTTAACTTTTGCTCTAGACAAGTAAATTCAGGAAACTTTGTGAGACTGTACTGAGTTTACGTTTGCGAATTTTTCGCAAAGGCTCGGTTTGTTTTTCTTTTCCACCTCTTCTTGTCAATTGTTCAGTTCCAACGAACGAGCAACGAGCGCAAGTGCTGTACTGGAGCGGCGATAAATGTGATCTTGGCTTCGAGCATTCATTGATAGTGCGGCTTTCAGTCATCACAGCGTAGCTTTTTCGGTTGCTTAGTGACTGCGACTCGTTTGAACCGTCCTGCCTAGTTCCTGTCCGTTTCGCACTGCAGTCCCCGCAGATCATGGAAGAAGCAACCACTCTGTGTTCCAATTGGTGAGGTTTTATTTTATTTAAAGTAGGCACAGAATGAATGTTACCCAACCATTCCGTTTTTAACTGGCAGCTTATCTACTGGTGTATTGATCTGGTTTGAGATGATGGTCCCACCTGTCCCACTATGAGACTGCAATATTGGTTATAGCTTGTTCGACTGCATTTCCCTTCTTGATAAGGGTATTCCCCTTTCTTAATTACTCATTAAATCATCAGATTCAACCTGGGCGCTTGTTTTACTTTCAGTCAACGCCCAATCGCAGCCAGCAACTATGTAATTCACAGCCTTCACTGTCAACGCAATTTAATGAAATGTGACAAATGCGGTGAAGCTGTGCCCCGTTCGGGTTTGGAGGAACATGATTTTGAGTTTCATTCAAAAGTCAACTGTCCCGACTGTCACATGTCTGTTGAGAGACCTCAATTAGACACTCACAAGGTATGCTTACAACTTCTTTGAATTGAAGTAGTTATATCATGATTATTTACAATGTCATCTGTACGACTGATAAGCCTTGAATCTTATCTTTGACTTGTTTTACCATAGAAAACAGTATGCCGGTCCCGTCAGCAGGGTTGTCTTTACTGTGAACTGGAAATGCCAGCTAGCGAAATTAGCCATCATGAAGACTATTGTGGAAGCCGCACCAAGAAGTGTGAGGACTGTGGAGAGTATGTTATGCTGAAATATGAGCAATTGCACATTGATTCAAATCATGGTTTCTTGAAACTTGACGATGGTGAGATTTTTTTTCCTCTAGGTCTTAAACATTGTATTTGGTAGTATGTTCTAATTTTTTGGACATAATTTAATTTTAATATATTTTTAGAGCCAGGCCCAACTGCCACTTGGATTAAAAACGACATCAAGGGTCGCTCTACACCAACAAAATCAAACAACAACTCAAAGCCCCAGCTCAATATTGGAAAATTTATTGATGATGATGATGATGTAGATGACATGCACAGCTTATTTGCCAATCTTTTGAAGAAGCAAAATGCTGTTGGTTCAACTACTCATTATCCGGGTGTGGCATATCCTATATCTGGGGAACCTCAAAGATATGTTTCAAGATCACCTCCACCATTCCAAGATGTTCTGGATGACACTTCAGATTTGGTTGCTCTACCATGTGAGTTTTGTGAGGCGATGATTCCAGTTAACCAGTTAATTCTTCATCAAGTAAGTTTTCAGATTTCAGACATAGATTATACTAGAGAAGTTTCATGGCTCAATGACGTGGTGTAGATTATTGTTGTATTTTATTTCTTCGCAGACTGGTTGCAGAATGGATATTGCCAGTTTTGGTAGACCGAAGAAAAGTCAAAATGACTCCACCATGAGGAAAAACTTGTCTGTTGTGAATGAAGTTGATGGAGGATTGTCCAGAGGCAGTTTGGAAAGGATGAATGAGTTTTGGGAAGATTCCAGGGATAAACAAGAAAACGCTGGGTCATTTGACATGCGTGACTCGAGGAGAAATGCTGTTGCTCATGTTGGGAAGGTGAATGTTGACAGGCACAGAAATGACATAGGTGAATGCAATGTTGACATGCGTCGAAACGCAATTGATGAAGGAAGTGAAGCGTCTTTAAAAAATGAGTTAGAAGAAGATGGTGTTTATTTTTTACCATGTGAATTCTGTGAAGAAGGGTATCCTCCAAGTTTGCTTCTTGAGCATCAGGTCTGTTTGATTGTCTTTCTTGCAATAATCTGGTTTTAATCTTAATCAGATTTCCAATTTCACTCATTCATTATTTTCTTCTGTTTCAGGATGTATGTGAATACAATCCTAAAAACATATCTGAAGCTACGCCTGTTTGGTCTGAGCCACAGGTATGCATTGCAGGCAAATGGAAAGAATTTGATTATTATTTACAACTGAATGAGTGTTGTTAATTTTCTTCGATTTTTCTGTAGGATGTTCCATCTGGAAAATCAAAGGAAACTCTAGAAACATTACGTCCCCGTAAATATGATGAAAACAACTACAACACATTTGTAGACTCGGATCAACCCAATAGTTCTAGTAAGTTGAGTTGTTTGTCTTTTTTTGCTCTGTTACTGAAGTATGAGCCACAACCTACCTCAGATGAATTGCCCCTGATTTTTGCATACGTAGAGGCTCAGCAAGGACGCATGCACTGGGCTTTACTCTAAATATGTTTTCCAGTGGAAGGGGAGCCTAAGGATCCCCATTTCCTGAGAACTCCCCAAAGTCCCCCTCGGCAACATGAAGTACATTGCCAGACTGACCCAATAGATGAGATTGTATCAAAATGGTTTAAACCAATTCAATCCCTGGAATTTTCTACTGACTTCAAAAAGGAGTCTTGTGACAAGAAATTGGTTGTCAAAGCTCCCGGGAACACAAGGCATGAATCCAGTGACATTTTAAACAAAGTCCCTGGAACCACCATTAGCTCTTCTTTCAAAAAACCTGGTGAAATCAGCTTAAGTGCATTTTACCAAACAAAGCCATCAAGTAACACACCTAAGGTTGCTCAGACCAGAGCATCTCAAGATCTCTTTGCTACCACTACCAAAACAAAAAAAGAATTTCATTCAGGCAAAGTGTCATCATCTATTATGTTGGGTAAGAAAAAACCTTTCCACAAAATTGAACATGTTGCGACCGAAGTGGTGCCCCCACAAATGAAGCCTGATTCAGGTTCTTGTTGTTGCCAACATTGTAGCCCTTTTATTATCTTTCTGTAGGACGAATTGTTTCTAGATATTTCAGCCCCTTTGCTGATGATCTACTAATGGTCAAATGTTGAAATTTCAGGTTCTCGAGGCAAGAACAATATATCAAATTCCTACAATGACTTACGTGGCAACTTCACTGTGTAAGTAGACGGACCAGGGTTAGCAGCTTCTTTGCTTTTCATACTTAAGTATCTGTTAATAATGTGTGTGCGTCTTTTTCAGGGCAAGTGAATGGAGTGATGATAGTGACTCTCGACCAACGTCAGCTACTGGGGCTATTCCCAAGCAGAAGGCAGGAAAACTTAATTTTTCACGTGTGTATTTTTCCTTCTCCAATTTTACTCTTAATTTTCCATGCTTTTCTAACAACTAAGTGCTCCCTATTTCAAAAAAATTTACATTTTTGCATGATTGCCCTGTGGCTTTTTTTGTCCTTTTTTTTTCCAGGCCCATTTTTATATTGTTGTTTTTCTTTACAGGGAAAGTCAACCAAGAAGTACAGAGCTCCCGACCCTCCAACTCGATAGTTCCAAGAAGGGGAGTTTCAAGGGGAGTTGACTCGAGCAGTGATAACGGCCAGGGGTACCATATTCGAAATAATTTAAAAGACCTTAATGATGATGAGGATGATGATTAATGATAGTTTACTTAAATTGAAATTTTAGGCCTGAAATTTGGTTGATACTCCTGGTGAGTTTCAAAATAACAATTATGAAATTCTTTTGTCCCCTCTGGCTGAGAGCTGCTCTTATAGTTGTTGATTAAAACTGTTAAGTGTAGTGCTGTATGACCAAATATTAACTTAAATTATAATTTGTGAAACGGGTCATGCTCTCTTTTATCGTATGGAATTGGTGATTGTTATTTGTGATGTTAACTTTCTCAAATGAGCTTGTTATGCCTGCAGCCTTTCAGCATTCCACATTCATCATTGCTTTTGTTGTTGAAATGAAACATGACGGGCTATACAAGTTCGATCAGTGCATTTATTGAGTATCATGCCAAGACAAGTTTACCTCTTATGATTTTTTTTTTAAATCTTGCTTTTTCTTTGTAGCAGAACAATCATTCTTGCAAAGCCTTTGTTCAAATGAAACATTTTCAAAGCTTCTCTTCCTGAACTTTGGACTACGATGGTTGTGCTTGAAGTGCTTCAGGCGTTGTTAACTTAATGCGTAATTGATCTTGCTTCTGTAGTCATGATTTAATTTTGTGTTTGTTTTTAGTGTTGAAGAAAAACAAAGCATCTTTCTTCATGTGATAACTACGTATTTAATATGTGGGGTACCATTGTTGTGAGGAATCTTAGGCGGCTGTAAAGCTCACCGTGTATTTTTGGTGTATGTTAACTAAATACCATAAACTATTTTGAATAGTGTCACAATGCATAAATTATAAAGTCCTTTTAAGAGAAACTTTTATGTGACTATCTGGTGATCAGTATTATGACTGCTGTAAATGATAGTTTCATTAGAAACCCACTTCCATTATGACCTTATGGAACATACTGTTAGCAAATTGAGCTAATGTGTACCGGTTTATTGCATGTAGCATAACAGACCAGTAACAAAATTTCTGTCTAACTTTTTATTGATACCATTTTTATTATTTATTATCTGTTGTTTTTTTTTTTTTTTTCACTTTTTTAACTGTAACAAAACCCTGTACTGTCTGGATATAGTGGGTGTTGTTATTTTAACATCTGAAGTCTGGACATATATTTTGGCTAGATTTCTCAAAATTGCTCTGTTGGCAAAGTATGATTCTTTCTAACGTGCTGTGACTAAATAGGGAATATATATGTACCTATTTCATAAGACTGTTAAACATCTTGTGAAGTAAATGCTTCAGTCAGTGTTGTCTTGACAGTAGCTCAAATAATTTGTGATAGTGACGTTTCTTCTTGAATCCCACTTCTTCCTTGTCAATTGTTTTGTCATGTCTAGCTTTTATGAGTCATCAAAGAGGAAACAATTGAGATATTAAAATTTTGGTACTCTGTTTCATATAAATTAGATGAATAAAAATTTAGCTTGTCTGTCATCGTGTTGCTCTTGGATGCCCCCCCACTCCATTCCGCTGATAGTGAGCAGCGGTGCAGATTATCCCCAGCGAGGGGGGGGGGGGGTTGGTCGGAGCGCCGTGCGGAGTGCGGGTAGGCTGCCCGCCGGACACGCCCGCCCGAGGCTTGCCCAGGCTTGCCTACCCCGCAGGCGGGGCGGACCCACCCTGCGGTGCAGAGCGAGCGATAACCCAGAAAGCGAAAGTGGCCTCTGCAAATTGCCCCCGATACGCACGCTGCACGCTCGCGGCTCGCTGCGTGTTCGACACGAGTAAGGCCGTGCGCCCCGAGGGTTTCCCTCCTTCCAAACGCTAGGGACAAATATTTGGCTGTCATCAGCCGTCATTGCCTTGATGGTCATGCTGAGTGCGAATCGCGGCACGGCGACCACACCCCGCGGCGCCCTGAGTCCCGCAGGCCCCGAGCAGGCAACGCCTTTGTCCGGGAGGGGGATGGACCTTGTGGGTGGGGGCTTTCTGCGAGCGCGTTGCCGCGTTGCGTTCCGGACGCCCTGCTTCGCCCTGCGCCACCGGGCGGCCCCGGCACCGCCCCCGCCCCACCCTCGCCGCGGACCGCGATCCAGCGGAGGGAGAGGGATAGAGGGATGGGGTCCGTATGGATTTTCCTTCCCTCTCCGCAGCGTAGCGGCGTAGCAGCGCGCCGCGTCGGAGAGGAGCATCGCTGTCTCTGTCTGGCAGCTGGACCGCCCCGCCCGGCCGCCCCGCCCCGGGCCGCCATTGGCCGTGGCGCTCGCCTCCCGCGCCTCCCGCCCTGCAGGAAGCATAGCGTGCTGGCCGCGCTGGCGGTGCGCTTCGCCTGCTCCGCGTCGCGACTGCAGACGCCCCGAGGCCGCCGAGCCTGCTGGTGCCGCGCTGCTCTGCGCCCCGCACCCTTGGCGGCGACCTCGTCCCGGGTCCGCGTCGCGGGCGTGGCCATCGGCGTGCCCTAGGGCGTGCCCCCCGGGACCCCCGGGACCGCCGGCACCTTCGCGAGCGCGGCGCGCGCGGCCACCAGCAGCATGGCGCAGTTCGTCACCACGCTGCAGCCGTCCCTGACGGACATGTCCCGACACCCCCCTCCACACCCACACCGGCACCACGACAAGGACCACCACAAGGACAAGGAGCGCGCGGCGCAACTCAAGCAGCAGCAGCAGCAACAACAGCAGCAGCAGCAACAACAGCAATCGGCCGGCCGCAGCGGCGGCAGCAGCGCGCCCGCGCCGGAACGCGCCCCGGAGCAGCAGAAGGTGAGCAGGTGGCACCAAGGGTGGCAACCCTACCCGGCCACGCCACTGCAGGCCGCTGCAGGTGGCAACCCTACCCTGCCACGCCACTGCAGGTCGGCCGCCCTCGAGTCCGTCTTGTTCTCGGCCGGGCCGGACGCGGCCGGACGCGCCGCATGCGATGACCGTCTTGGAACGCGCGGGGCTGCCCTGCGCTGCGGCCCGGGCGGTCTCTGCGTCTAGCACTGCAGTGCAGGAGGCTGCAGGACATGCAGGCCGCCAGGTGTAGCCCCGCCAACGCCTAGGCGAAGGCCCATCGGTCCATGCCCAGCACCGCCACGCCACGCCTCGCCACCTCGCACTATTCCGTCGCCTCTCTGCGTGTATTCCTTTATTTACTTTGTTTTCTTGGCAATGTCTTGTATTTTGTGGTTTGTTTTGGCTCGTCCTTTTGTATACGTTATTTTGGAATATTTTTCTGTTTTCATATGATTTGCACTTTTTTTGGGTTCTGATTAAACAGTTGAAAGCTATGGAAAATACACAAAACAGAGGATGTTTTGGTGATGCGCAACAAACGCTTCAGTAAAGTTGCGCATCTGTGCACTTATTTTGCCTCCTGGTTTTGCATGCTTTTCCTTTTTCCTTCGCAACAGTAATCCTTTCTGGAACTTGGCGTACTCCTGCACACCATTGCGACGCATGTCACCTTGGCCTGCCTTGGCTGGGTGGACGGACACCCCTCCTTTTTTTCCTCATCAAGTTTTATTCCTCGACTGCTGGCATGTCTCCCCATCAGCCAGCGCCCCGTGTCTGCAAACACCGCGTGCCTCTCCCCCGCACCTCTTGCACGAAAAGCCATTTCTTGCCCCACCCCCACTCCCGCCCTACCCCACCAACCCCACCAGCAGGCACCGCTCGCTTCTCCGACCCTTTCCCCGGCCGGCCCCGTTCTCCAGACCTTGCCCGTGGTGCCCGACCCCTCGACCCCCTACCCACCGGTCGACCCCAACCCCCACCTGGCGACCCCATCCGGCACCCTGCCCTGCACCAAGCCCTCACACCGCCCCACGGTGGGCCAGAGCACCGGTGGAGGCGGCCGAAACCCTAGCCGCGTTTTGAGCTCCAGAGTCGCTAAACAGGCCTTGAACCGAACGTGTGACCCACCAATGGATTCCTCGTTCGGAGAGCAATCCATTGGTGGGGTCACACGATCGGTTCGAGTCCCATTTAGCGACTCTGGAGCTCAAAACGCGTCTAGAGTTTTGGCCGCCTCCACCGGTCTTCTGGCCCACTGTGCGCCCCGGTACCGACCCAACCCCCGCGCCCTGGCACCCGGCCCGAACACTCACCCGGCAGGCCTGCCCGACGGCCTGACGTCACCGCACGATAGTGATAGTCACTCCAAATCGTTCCGGCGCCCCGTAAAAGGGCGGGATGGTGCAGATAAGAAGACGGATTGCGATCCGGAGAGGTCGGCAAAAGCACCGCCTTGGTCGCGAACCGCGAATTTCCCGCCAATTCGCCAATTGGAGCGGCGCATGCAAGGCGGTGGCGCGGCGGCCTTGCCTGCCCGGCCTTTGCCCGGCCTTGCCGGTTCCGCGTTGTCCTTGGAGAAAACCGCCGCGGGGCTATTTCCATCCACCGGAAGACAGCGGCTTATTGACTTAAGCCCCGCCTGGCTACGCCTGGCTGGCCAATAAAAGGCCGCGCTTGTTTGCCGCCACGCTGCCGTTCGCGGGCAAACTGACCTAACCTAACCTAACCTGGAAAGGCGCAGTGCGACGGCTGTTTTGTACACTGTAAGCAAAACGTTGGAAGTCACTAGAGCACGCGTAGCCAGTGTTGCCGCAGAAAAAGGCGGAAATTCCCAATGATACACCAGTGTTGAAAGCGAGGGGGTAAACACTTCAAGAAATCGTGTACAGACTACTCGGTATTACGCTGTATTACGGAGGTATTACACGTGTATTACGGTCTAAAAATGCAAAAATTTGGCACATTTGACCCGAAAAAGGTATTACGACCACGTGTATTACGCGTAATACACGGTTTTTGTGTACAGGGTATTACGCGAGTGGTTACCCCCTCGGTTGAAAGGGTTGCCAAACTCAGTCTGCCTACGTCCCAGTCAATGTGGGTCTCGAGAAGTAGAGTCCTACGGTCAAATCCACTGAGCCGGCCACTGTAACCGAGAAGTGGGCTGGCCGATGTCAGCAACCTATTCGACACCTGTGCATCGTGGGAGTTTTGACCACTAAGGTGGCAACACTGCGCGTTGCCGTTCTTTAAAGACAGCGTGCGTGACGCCTGAACGCCTGAAGTTCCAAAAGTGCTCCTTCTTGCGTGCTGCGTGGTGGTGGCGGCGCCGCTTGGCCCTGCCTTTGGCCCTGCCCGCCGTACGTCAACCTTGGCCCGATATGTTTGACGCGAGGCGGCGCGGCCGGGCCGAGCCCCGCACCGCCACCGCGCCCTCGAACGCCTTGAGCAGCTCTGAAGCCAGCAGACTGCTTCCTGTCTCTCTCGCACCCCTTCGCGGCGCCCATGAGAGCGCATGAGACTGCAGACGGGATAACGAATGCCGCGGCCTTGGAGGGCTTGGCCATGGCTTGGCGGCCAGGGAATTAGGGGAAATACTCGAGGAAAGTAACTACCCTGCGCGACGGGCGCCCCGCCGGCGCCACGTTGCCAGGCCGTATATGGGCCACGGCGCCAGGCTTCGCCGCCCCGGCCGCGCGCCGCCACGTCCTGGAGCAGGGGAAGCACCCCGTCCGGCTGACCTTGCCGGGACATTGTAGCCAACCCACAGTGGGCCAGAAGACCGGTGGAGGCGGACAAAACTCGAGACGCGTTTTGAGCTCCAGAGTCGCTAAATGGGGCTCGAACCGAACGTGTGACCCCACCAATGGATTGCTCTCCGAACAAGGAATACATTTGTGGGGTCACACGTTCGGTTCGAGTCCCATTTAGCGACTCTGGAGCTCAAAACGCGCCTAGAGTTTTGGCCGCCTCCACCGGTCTTCAGGCCCACTGTGCAACCCCACTCGGTGAGAGGAAAGTCCCCAGCAGACTGAATCCGAGCTTCGTCTCCGTCGCTCTGTCATTCTCGCATTCATGGACCGTCCCGTTTAGGAGCGACACAGACAGAGCGATAGAAACGACTCTCGGAATCAGTGTGCAGGACTGCGAGGAGAGCTGGGATTCTGGAGGGATGGCTGTGGCGGCGGCCAGCCTGGCACTGTAGGCAGCCGGGCCGCTGCACTGCCAACGGGCTTGCCTACCTCCGCGGCGCTCGCCGCGCCCGCTGCGCCCAGCCGGCGAGCCGCTTCCGACTGCACGCCTTCCTACACTGCGAATTTACAGTGTGCACCGCGTAGCACCTGGCCCCGAGGGGTGAATTACTAGTGTACTCATGTGTACTAATTTGCCCGTACTCAGTGTACTCACAAGTTTAAAAAGGGAAAAATGTACTAGTTTTTCGACCAATTTAACGTTGAGTGCCGTTAAAAACGCTAAATAAAGCCTCACAACGTTTAAAATTGTAAAATTTATGAGTTAAGCAAGGTGTACTCACCCGTACTCATGTACTCATGTGTACACCAGAACGCTGAGTGATTCACCCCTCGCCTGGCCCGCCATGCAAATTACGACAGTGCTCTGGACTTTGGACGCCGCCTGCTGCTGCTGCCGCGCTCCAGGGAGCGATTCCAGTTGCTGGAAGTCTGCAACTCCCCTGGTCGTAATCCCACCCCTCACCCCTCATCATTTCCCCCTGTCCTTGAGGAAGAACGACCCGCGGCCCGACTGACGCCGCCCACGCCGCCATGCCCCCCCTCCCCCGTCCGTTCCATCATGGTTCCATTCGTGGAGTCATTCCAAGAGATGGAGGAGAACGAGGTCGAAGCAGGTCGAGCGTTCGCCCAGATTATTCGCCACGATTGCGGCGGCTGCCCGCACAGTGGGCCAGAAGATGAGTGGAGGCGGACGAAACTCTAAACGCGTTTTGAGCTCCAGAGTCGCTAAATGGGACTCGAACCGAACGTGTGACCCCACCAATGGACTGCTCGTTCGGAGAGCCTGCTTGCACTCGCACCCAGTCCTGCCAGAATGGCCTTGATGTACCAGTGTCGGAAGGGCCGCCAACCTCAGCCTGCCCACTAGGCGACTTCTCGACAGCGAAGCCATTGCCCAGTGGGTTGGCAACCCTTTCGACACTGGCGCATCGTGGGTATTTTCGCCCTCTTGTGTGGCAGCGCTGCTCGAGCGACGTCCAGAGTTATGCGTCCGCCGGATGACGGCTCAGCCGAGGCAGCCCCAGGGCGAACAGTGGGCCAGAAGACTGGTGGCGGCGGACAGAACTGTAGACGCGTTTTGAGCGCCAGAGTCGCTAAACAGGACTCGAACCGATCGTGTGACCCCACCAACGGATAGCTCTCCGAACGAGGAATCCATTGGTGGGGTCACACGTTCGGTTCGAGTCCCATTTAGCGACTCTGGCGCTCAAAACGCGTCTAGAGTTAGTTTTGACCGCCTGCGCCGGTCTTCTGGACCATTGTGGGGCGCCCCCAGACACGCCGAGCACCTCTTGATGCGCTGGACGCGATCCCGTATTCCATTTGGATTTTATTTTTAGCCCGCGCCTTGAATCTCTCCTCCGCGCCCCGTGCCACGGCCTGCCCCGGCATTCGCTGCGCGTGCACTCCGCGTGGAGTGCGTGAGTGCCGGTCCAGGGATGCCTTTGGAAGCAGTGGCCATCTATTCCCGTCACGGGCATTCTTCCCGTCGGCTTTCCTGCCTTCAGCTCTCGGGGGGCCTCACGGAACCAAGTCCAATGGGGGTTGCCCTCATCACAAGAGTGCCTCCGAGTTCACCGAGTTGTTGAAAATTTAAGAATCAGCGCGAGGTTAACTGAAGGTTGAACCGTTGCCGTGTCACAGTGGGGAAGAAGACCGGTGGAGGCGGACAAAACTCCAGACGCGTTGAGCTCCAGAGTCGCTAAATGGGACTTGAACCGAACGTGTGACCCCACCAATGGACTTCTCTCCGAACGAGGAATCCATTGGTGGGGTCACACGTTCGGTTCGAGTCCCATTTAGCGATTCTGGAGCTCAAAACGCGTCTGGAGTTTTGGTCGCCTCCACCGGTCTTCTGGCCCACTGTGCGTGTGTCCGATCCGGAGCCAAGCGATGTGAAGTCAGCGCCACGCTGTCCGCTGTCCCGGTGCGCTCGGAGGCGGAGGCGTCGGTGACGCCATCCTTGTCCTCCCCACGGCGCGGCCGGATGAGGGAGACAAGGACCAAAATACCTTCCGCGCCCCGCCGTGCCGGGCAACGCGCCCTGCTCGCTGCCCTGCCGACTCTAGACTCTACGCCCCTTCAGTGCAGCCGGCCGCGCGCAGAGGCACACCGCCTCCACCGTGGCGCCGCGAACCAAGCCCCGAACGTGCGCGTGTGCTTGCGTGAGTGCGCACGCGAGTGCGTCTGTCTGTGTGTGTGCGAGTGTGTGTGTCGGTTCCCTACGGAAAGAATCCCCCAATCGGTTAGGCTAGGTTAAACACGTGGTGCGTAAAAATTTCCAGACCAAGGCGTGTTTACAGAATTACTGAGGCCTGCTGCCCCGCCCCTCAGTTTGGAGGACGCCCTTGAAAAATCTCCGCGGCCGGCGCTCCGATTCTCCGATATTCTTTTCCTTCCGTCTCCGCGGCCGCGGTGCGCTTCGGTGCCCCGTTTTTGTGCTGGACAATGGACTTCAGCTCGCCGTCCACCGCCCAACGCGGTCCAATGGCTCTCGGGGACTCTTGTCGCGATCGCGATGGGACTCGAATCGAACGTGTGACCCCACCAATGGACTCCTCGTTCGGAGAGCTATCCATTGGTGGGGTCACACGTTCGGTTCGAGTCCTGTTCAGCGACTCTGGAGCTCAAAACGCGTCTAGAGTTTTGGCCGCCTCCACCGGCCTTCTGGCCCACTGTGCGTCGTCGCGCCGCCGTCGTGGTGCGGTGGGGCAGGGTGGGGGCGCAGGGGCTTTCGGGGTTCCGTATTTTTAGTCCCTCATCTCCCTGCAGGCCTGCAGGCCTTCCCTCGGACCGCCGAGTCAAGCGGCGAGTCGAGCGGCGAGGGCGAGACTTCCGAACCGAAGCCACGCAGCCTAGGCGGCCTAGGCGGGTCCGCGGCACTTCGGCCCCTCCACTGGCCCGGCACGCGTGCGCTGGGGTGCGTGCAGTGCGTGCCGTGCGTGCTGTGCTTGCGCGGGGCGTGCGAGCTTGTTGCGTGCGGCCCGGAATTAATTTGAAGCTCGCTCGCGTCCGAGCGGCTTGCGCGTGCGTGTGTGTGCGTGTGTTTGCTTTGCGTGATGGTGTGTCTTGTCCAGCATCCGTGACTGCTGGATCTCCGAGTAGAGTGCCCCGAGCCTCACCATGTTCAAGAAGAAGTTCCCCTCCCTGTCCAGCCTCGGGGTGAGTGTCACAGTGTCGCAGCCTCAGTAGTATGGAACACTCATTCGCACGGGCCGCCATTTTGACCCCCGGGTCCCCGTCTTATTGACACTCCGCGATGACGCTCGTGTCAAACGACGGGGCGGCACGAACAGAGGTAAAGATGCTCCCTGCATGCCGCCTCGGTTACTCAAGACCCCGGCGACCGAATTCCGGCCGCGTTTTGGTTTGGCGGATTCGAGGTTTGGGGGAGTCGCGCGACCGGTCGGTCGACGCGGACGGCTTGTCTAGTCGTCGTTTGCGGACCGGCCCGCCGGGATATGTATAGACTGCCCCCTCGCCTCCCCCTGCCGCCCAGAGTCGCGACCCAGTCAACACAACACGTACAGTTTGCCCACGCGAACCGCTCGCGCGCAGACCACTACGTGAACCTCAGGGGTCGCCGAGGGCCGCACGGACAAGCTTCAAGTTCGGCCACCTGACAGCCTGGCCGAGGGTCTGGCGGTGCAGGGAGGGGCAGGGGGGCTCGACCAAAGGACAAGGGGCTGTAAACGCCTCCCCGCCCCTCCCCCCTCCCTGCCGGGAAGAGGCAAATGTCAGGCCGCTGGCATTTGCAGGCTCGAGGACTTCCCCGCACTTCGCAACCCCTTCGCAACCCGCAGGCAGGCGCATAGTGGGCCAGAGGACCGGTGGAGGCGGCCAAAACTCCAGACGTGTTTTGAGCTCCAGAGCCGCTAAATGGCACTCGAACCGAACGTGTGATCCCACCAATGGATTGCTCTCCGAACGAGGAATCCGTTGGTGGAGTCACACGTTCGGTTCGAGTCCCGTTTAGCGACTCTGGAGCTCAAAACGCGTCTCGAGTTTTGGCCGCCTTCGCCGGTCTTCCGGCCCACTGTGAGGCGGGTTGGCGCGCGGTCGCGGGTTCGAATCTCGTCACCGCCCTGCTCAGCTAAAAGCCGTTCCAGACCGCACCTGTGCTCCATGCAAATAAATCCCTTTGGCGTTCAGTATGTTTTATTCATCGCCACCGTTTGACGTTCGGTTCGTGGCGCAAGGCGCCTCAGGTGAGTGAGCCATACTGTGGCTGGAGCGGGCTGGAGTTTGTCTTGGCCCCGGGCTGCTCCAGGCGGCTCCGGGCCATGCGGTTCCAGACACTGCCTTTGAAACGCAGATTCGGAGAGGCCCTATCACACCGTCAGTCCCCAGACGCGGCCACGCGACCCCAGAGCTGGGACAGTTTGAACGCTGTCACGACCTCGTTAAAGTTATGAGGATTTCGAGGTCCTGGTCCTCAAAGATACTATTCAGATACTATTCTCTCCGGTTGGCGGACCTCCCCTCCGACAAAACGAGGTGACCACGTTGTCCGCGTCGCCGGCTCCCTGCGATCGGTTTTTCAGACAAGCCTTTTCTGTAACAGGGCGGTGGGGCGGGGTGTGGAGGGAAAGGGTACAAAGCAACCCGCTCAATACCGGTCGCCCGCCCCGCCCCCGCCCAACCCCGCCGCGCCCCGCCGCGCCCCGCCACGCCCCGCCACGCCCCCAGCGTGTACCGCCGTAGTTACACGGAACGAGCGGTATGCAACTGTGGCACGAAGGAAGCAACAGAATCCGGGCCGCCGGGTGGCGGTGGCGGACGCGCTGGCGCACAGTGGGCCAGAAGGCCGGTGGAGGCGGCCGAAACGCTAGACGCGTTTTGGGTTTCGGAGTCGCTGAATGGGACTCAAACCGAACGTGTGACCCCACTAATGGATTGCTCTCCGAACGACGAATCCGTTGGTGGGGTCACAAGTTCGATTCGAGTCCCTTTAGCGACTCTGGAGCTCAAAACGCGTCTAGAGTTTTGGCCGCCTCCACCGGTCTTCTGGCCCACTGTGTGGCGGATGGCGTGCGAGTGCGCGGCCAGAAGTTTGGCTGGCCTGCCTGCCGGCCCTGCAGCAAAAACCTACAAGTTTGCTTTCCAGCGTGTCTCTCTCTCTCACTCTCTCGGTGGAACATCCTTTTAAAGTCCGCGCAAACACCCCCCGCCTACTTCTCGACTTAGAATGCGGATGCGCGGTGCGGGGCTTCTGCGCTGCTTTTTCGCGTCGTGCGTGTGTCTCTGTGTGCGTGTGTCTGTCTGTGTGTTTACTGGGGGCATGACGTCATTCGCCTCCAACCCCGCTGCGCTTGCCACCGAGCGCCACGCCCTGACAGGGGCGCTCTCCGGATGCACCAGCCAACACCAGACCGATTCCGAGAGTCGTCGCTCTGTCTCTCTCGCACTCGTGGGGCGTCTCGAAGCGGGAGAGAGACAGGGCGACGAAATCGACTCTCGGAATCAGTCTGCGGGGGCAGGCGCGGGGGCAGGGGGAGCTGCCAGTTCCCACCAGGAAGTCCGACTGGATGATGACCTTCGAGTTACGACCCCCAACGCGCCTCCTGTAGAGCCTCACGGAGGTTAGGTTAGGCAGGAACTCGAATTTCCAACGATTGAACCTTGTGAGTTACTTTGCTATCGATCGCCGCGTACATGCAAGGTGCTTTTCTTTTCCGACGTTGGCAGTGCCGCATACTCTGTGGTCCAAGTCGATCGGCCCGCACTCCATCACAGTGTGCGGGTCGCGTGTGGGTCAGGCTCGGGGAATAGGGGCGGCGGGGGCGGCGGGGGCCGCAAGAAGCCGAATCTGGGGCAGTGCGGGAGTCACGTCGCGGACTCCAGTGCCAGCCAATGCGATGGAGTGCCCCGGAGTTCCGCTGGGAAGGGTTCAACTCAACAGCCCGTGCCAACACTGCCAACAAAAGGCAGAGGAGTCCGCTTGGCAAACGCCATCACCTAAACGGTGGTCGTTCGCGACGTTCTGTACAGAATAACTGGTCGGCTTCCGTTTTCCTTGCGGTGGTGTTGTCCCACGCGCGACGCTCGTCAGACGCACCCCTCGCGAGATACGGCATCTAAAATTCTGCCAGTGTGGGTGCATACATAAATGACGTCATAGACTTTGCACGCTGTATGACGAGGCGCGCTGGCGCGCTTGACAAAGACAGAGTCATTACGTTGTCATGGGAGTACGCAGGGTGAGGCGTTGCCGGGGCGTTGCCGGGGCAACCAAGGGCAAACAGGTAAAGTTCAGGGTGAGGCCGAAGGGTGGCCAGGCAGAGCGCCAGCCAGCATAACATCTCGCGGTTTAATGAGTTGCCGCTATCGCCTTCGCCGCCTCACCGGTCGCGCTATCTCCCACCGGCCCGGTGCGCCGATCGGAACGGCGCACAGCCGCGCGCTTTCAGCCGCGGGCTTTCGGCTCCGGGCTTTCGGCCGCGGGCTTTCAGCCGCGGGCTTTCCGCTCCGGGCTTTCGGCCGCGGGCTTTCAGCCGCGTGCTTTCGGACGCGGGCTTTCGGCCGCGTGCTTTCAGCCGTGGGCTTTCAGACGCGGGCTTTCGGACGCGGGCTTTCAGACGCGGGCTTTTAGACGCGGGCTTTCAGACGCGGGCTTTCAGACGCGGGCTTTCAGTCGCGGGCTTTCGGCCGCGGGCTTTCAGTCGCGTGCTTCTAGCAGTGCTTTGAGCCGCCCGGCACGACTAGCACGACAAGCCCAAGACGCAGGCGGCGTGTATGCACGCAAGTCAAACAAGGCTCTGCAGCCAGGCCGGCTAGGCCGGCTAGGCCGGCTAGGCCCACATTGACGCATCCTAAGCCCCTGTGTGCTCGGACCGCTTGGGGCCGCTCGGGTCCTCTGGGGCCTCTAGGCTTAGCGCGTGCGCCTCAAGCGTGCCCGCCCGGCTTTTTATTTCGACAGCCACGCCGCCACGCAGGCGCGGGCAGGTGGCGGTGGTCAAGGTCGGGAAGCCCCTGGACTGCCCCCACCGGGTCACCCAGAGTCACCGAGGCACCGGGGTCTCGCCGGCGAGGGGCGTGCCGCTAGGCGTGCGTCCACGCAGTCCACTTCCGCGGCGCCGCCATCGCGAGCCTCCCGCTGGCCGCCGCGTCCGCGGCCACTGGCGGTCGCTGGAGGGTCGCTGGAGATACTCCCGGCGCCGGGTTGCTTTACGCGCGGCCCGCGGCTGGAGAGTTTGGTGCGCGCGTGTTGGCAACGTCTGCCGGTGTCCGTGCGTCCGCCGCTCCGGCGGCCGAGGGTCGGCGGACGGTCGGGCGCCGCCGAAGCGCGCCCGAAGCGGAGCCGAACGCCGCACCGAGGACGGCCGGACCGTACTGCAGTGCGCTCGGCTCGGCTCGGCGGGGCTCGGCTGCGCTCGGCGGCGCTCGGCTCGGCTCGGCTCGGCGCAGGACTCGTTCGGTTCGGGTGGTTCGGGTGCGCAGTGCTGCTCCGCTCCGCGACGGCGGTCGCCTCAACTACCGCTCGCGCTCGCGCTCAGTGTGCGTCCGGAGCTCGGCGGGGCAGCAGTTCAGTGACAGCGCGCGACTTTCGTGGCGACGTGCCGCCGTCAGGATGACACTAGAGTGACGTTTGTTTCGAGTGTCCATCCACCGCGAGTGGTCGCTGTGACAGGGCACCGTCGCCATGGTTACGGAAGCGCCCGTCACCCAGGTGAGTGTCTGGAGCACGCCGTGAAGCGCACCGTTCGGGCTGGCCGCTTCGCTGCACTTGGTAGCCCCCCCCCCTTTCCGCCCCGCCTACGCCCGTCTCACCTGCCCACATCGCCGGGCCTACGGTGGGCCTACGGCGGCGTGCGGCTGGCCGGCCCTCCAAGCGGCCCACGGTGCCCACCGTGCCCTCGGCCCTGTGCCGGCCAGTGTGCCGGCCGCAGAGCCGCGACGGGCGCAGGGATTTCCAGGCAGCACCCTGGACCTGTGGCGGCTGGGGCGTGGGGCGGGGGCCGCGGGGGCGGGGCGGGCGGGGACGGCGGGGCCCAGGCGAGCGCGCCTGGAGGACGCACAGGCCCTGGACACCTGAAGGGCCTTCTTCCTGGAAGTGCCTGGAAGTGCCCTGGAGCGGCGGGGAGGGTCCCTGCGAGGGTGCCGCCTCGCCGCTGTGCCGCGAGGGGTGGCTGCAGGGCTGGAGGGGAGGGCGCCGCCTCGCC